TCTCTTACCTCCAGGGCCTGGGATTCCTGAGGGCCTGCCTTGGCACTGAAGTCTGAAGCAAAGAAGGCATTCAGTAACTCTGCCTTCTCTGCATCCTCCATCACCAGGACACCCACCTCATTCAGCAGTGGCCCCACATTATCCCTAGTCTTCCTTTTGCTGCTGATGTACTTGAAGAAGTCCTTCTCCTTGTCTTTGACATCCCTTGCCAGCTTCAATTCCAGGTGGGCCTTAGCCTTCCGTGTCGCATCCCTGCACGCTCTGACCACATTCCTGTACTCTTCCCAAGTGGCCTGTCCCTCTTTCCACATTCCATGTACCTTTCTCTTCCACCTGATCTCCTCTAGAAGCTCCTGTTCAACCATGCAGGTCTCCTGCCTCCGTTGCTAGATTTCTTTCTCAGGGGGATGCACCAGTCCTGAGCGTGGAGGAAGTGACGTTTAAAGAGTGACCAGCACTCTTGGACCCCTCTGCCTTCGAGAGCGCCTTCGAGAGTCTTACTGAAGTTAGATATGTTTTGACATAAATCACATCTTCACCCTTGAGAAACCTGAAACAAAGTCAAGGTCTGGCAGAGCTCCTGAGAGAACCTAGACAAATTATGTCCATGGTAGCATTGTAGGCTTTAGCTCCATCCTCTCTCATTAGAACAGAGCCTTCATTCACATAGCTTAGAAAAAAACAAGCGCAATGTTGGCTGGAGCAGCATGTGTGAATATCTGCACACTTGCAGCCTTCTCACTGTAATGATCTTCATAGTCCTTATTGAAAACAAAATGAGTAAATAGCTTTAGAGCAGTGCATTCCTTTGCAATAATCTTGGCATTGCTTTTTACCTAACAATGAGCCTCTGATATGTGCCTAGAAAAGGAACACAGATAAGACAGCTTTCCAGGTAAACAGAATAGACATGACATTTAATAGCCCGTCTTTGTAATTTTCAGGTTATTTTTGGTGCATGTACAATAGAAGGTGTTCATTCATAGAAAAATGAATAGTGTGCTTGTAATAGAAAATCAGTTGCTGTTAAGACATCTCCTACCAGGCATTAGCACATGAAGCTTAATTTTAAAATTAACAAAGCTATTCTCAAGAGGAAAAATGTTAAGCAAACAACTGCTTATTTTTTTAAAGGTGGTAGCTTTTTGTGTCACAAGGTTACTGTTGATGTTAGCCATAATGAATGCCCACTTAGACTAAAAACAGTATCTTTGTATGATTTTATATAGTTTTCCAAGAGATGTGCCAGTCATGATGAGTTGATATTGCCCTGTCCTGGATTAGAGAAAAAGAATCTCTACACCTACACACAGGACAGTTCATACCTGTATAGTGATAGCTTGTCATTTAAATCTCTTATCGTATGGCCAGGTTACTCTAGACAGAACATTGCCTCAATCTGTAATGTTTGTTGGCTTGTGTTTGCTGTGTGCCTGCTTACTCCCCTTCCATGCCACATGGCAGCGACATCTGTGTTTGCGGTGAAGAAACCATATACCAGTGCCAGTGTAGCTTTCCTCTGGTTAGAGGGAGGCTCGAAGCAAACTCTGAAGAAAAACTGCCCAGTCTGCTCTGAAGTAGGGTGAAACCTCAAGATCACAGAACTTCCAAGTTCTGTTTTGTCACTTTCTAGAGGTAAAATCCAGATGTCATGTAACAATTTAAATATTTTTGTGATTACACAGGTTTTTAATTTGTGGTATATGAAAAATACTGATCCTTGTTATGGGCTTGTTTGAGTAAGGAATTTAGCTTGCATAGTTTTGGAGTGGGTATTTTCTGTAAGAGCATATGATGAATCTGAGGCTTTATGTTTTACGGCTAGTGCAATTTGACTACAGAATCTGAAGTTTATTTCATAGACTAATGTGTGAGTGAGTTTTGATGTGAAATTTCTGTTCTGAAGAGTGCTCTTTTTGTTTATTGGTTTGTTTTTTTTTAGCACTGCTAATATGAGACATTGGTTGGGGGGAAAAATAAGTAGTATAATTTTTGCTTGAAGGCAAGAATATGTAATGGCAATTTTTCCCCTTTAATCAGAAACTTTGAGAGAACAAGAACAGCACATTGAAACAGAGACACTGGACAAACAGGAGTTAGAATAACTAGCGGTGGTGAGTTGCGTTCATGACAAGGATAAATAGTAAGGCTAAAGCCTTAGAAGGGCTAAGGAATAAACCTGATGAGTCCTTGCCTGAGAGGTGTAGAGGACTCAAGTTAATTTCCTCCTTCGGGGTGTTGTCAGCATGAACCTTGGCAAGATACTTTGACTAATTCTGCAAAAGATCTGGGTTTGTTTGGCTTCTTGCATACACCATTGCAGTCTTAGAAACACTGTTCTCCTGTGGTCTAATCCTGACTGCCAAATCGCAGCCATCTTTATTTTTTTTACCCAAATCAGCCTAAAGCACCTGACCCAGAAGTGTCGCTTTTTAGATAGGGTTGAACAGCTCAGCACCTAGCTTAACCCAGCCCACTTGAGCTGCAGAAAATAGCTGCTGCTCTGTCAAACTTACTGGAGCTGCTTTCACAGCTATTGTGGGCATAATCAGAGTTCATAAAGAACAGTTAGCAGATTAAAAAAATATAACCTGTTTTGGAGGAGGCCCCAGGTGACATGTGTCACATCTCTAGCTTGGACCCATCACCAGGTCTGGTTCCACTAGCTATAATAAGGTACTGGAAATTTTGTGTTCCAGTAGTGTCTAGGTCTTGGTTTAGCTTTTGTCTTCTGTTTCCCATCAATAAATAGGGTCATTTGCCTAGCTTATGGGATCCTACAGGGATAAGTACGAGATTGTGAAACACTCAGACATTGTGTGTTGCAAGAGTGTGGCTGGGGAAAGAATATCGGGTTCCTATCTTGTGTTTGGTAGTATTATGTGGACTGCTGCAGCTACAAATCCATACAAACTAAATGTGAAATTAGCAGCCTTGCTGCATGCTGCCAATGACCAGATCAACGTCTTTTCTATTAACACTTCTCTTTGCAGTGCTATTGCCCACTGCTTACCAGGACATGTAGTAAGATTGTTTTGGTTTTTTTTAAGTCTGAATGGTCTGGAAGCAGAGTGAAGTTACAATAATAACAGTGGGTGAGTTCTGGACATTGACAAAAGAGAATGACCAATACGGGTAGACAAGACTTGATTTTATTAATAAAATTTGTAGTTTCTTCTTTGAGATGACAGTTACAAACTTTGGTTCAAAAATAAAATATGAACAGCAAGAAGTTGACTTTTGAAATCTCACTTTTACATGTATAAACATGCGTAAGAAAATACCAGTTGGAAATGAGCCAGCAGAAACTAGTACTATTTAATTTAACAATTTATAAGAAATAGAAACAAACATTTCTTTTCAAGTCTTACATATATTATGAAAAATAATTACAAAAGGATTTGTGCTGTAAAGCTAAAATGCAATTTCTACTTCCAACTACCTGAATAAAATGATCAGAGGGAAGGCCAAACCAACTTTTTTTTTGGTGAGATTTGAATAACAAACAGTTTGGGCCAAAGACAGCTCTGTAGGAAGCAGTCCCCTCATATGTTGCTTAGCAACTATGTAGAATCACATGACCTAGACATATTGCATCCCTGGCCTTCAGGTGAAATAACAGCAAAAAATATTTCATATTAATGGGATGGGCAAATATTGTATAGACCATTCTGTGGAGCTTCTAGTATCCAGTTCAGGAAGCACACATCCGTCATTGCTTACATAAACATCTAAGTAAACACTGCAAAAAATCCATAAATAACTGTTTAGAATCCCGTTTTAATATTTATGCGATCAAGTCAGCACAATGGAAACAAATTCAGATGAAACTGAAAGAAAAAGAAGGAAAGCTATATGACTGGAAGGAAAGCTATATGACTAATTTATTTCTCACAGATTTTTAACAGATCTCTTGCATAGAATATAAACTTGTTTATTTTAGGTAGGTACAGGTATCTTATGAAATTTTGGAATTAGGAAAGAAAACAAGAAGTCTGAGGAAAACAAGAAGTCTGAGGTATAGCACCATGGAACACAGCACCTTTGAAGGTGGTTTCATTATTGAAATTGATCATCAGAGAGTGACATCAGCAGAAAAGGGCTGTTTGAGTGTGCTGCTCACCATCTTCCAGTTTTGCCACCGTAAGTTTTGTCGGCGACTTCAAATAACAAAGCTCTTCAACAACAATATATACATAGGGATTTTATTATTAATCAGAAATGGAATTGGCTTCACTGGCAATTACAGCTTTATTTTTTTCAGAATACATACACAATATTGACAATGTAGTTTTGTAATTTTAAAATAAGAGCCAGATGCAATTCAGAGACACATGCAAGTTTTGGAAATGGACAGAGAACTAACAGTATAGTACTGTACATAGAATAATTACAATTTATTAAACACTTTCTTAACACCTCTTTGTTGTAATGGAAGGAGCACCATGTCGTTCACTTTCTTACAGCACCAAAGGAATCCAGAGGCGGGGGGGTGTTCCTGAAGTGAGCCCTATGTTGTCTGTCTGTGCCACAGCATCTTTGCAAAATAAGTTTAAGTCATGTGATTCTGGCCCTACAAGGGCAACAATTACCTTCTAGATAAGACATACATACACAGCAAGACATATTTTCTATGCCATCCTTATTCAAAACTTGCATGTGGCATGAAGTGGGTTGGTAGCACCAAAGTGCAACATTTTTGTTGATCTGATTTTGTCTTAAGCTTAACCAAGGAAGCAGACAGGACTGACTTCAAATCCAAACTTCTGGTTCTGATCACCAAAGTCATTGATCATCACATCAACTATAGGCACTTGGTCTATTTTAGGTGTGTTGATTTCGATCACTGTCTTTGCATAGCCCTTTCTTGCCTGTTAAAAAAGAAGCAGAAAAAAGCAAACACAGTTACATATCAGAGCAGTATGCATGTGCTGTAGATCTTCATAGGTTATCTCTGAACAGTAGAATTTATAAATTATTGCCCTCTCATGCACCAGATATTACAAACTCTAAGGCTTATGTTTTCTTAGAATTTTATTTTAAAAATGGACATGGAAAGTTTTTGATTTTAGAAAGACATCAGCCCATAGCTTTTTGACTTACTAAAACAGGCCTACAAATGAAGAATTACTTAAGACATTTCATGTTAGGGAATTGTGAGTTCACATCTATACTTTTTAATTCATAATAACAATATTCTCATAGCAGTGCACATGTCTTCCTTGTGAAGAAATCACTGATTCATTCTGAAAAACAGAAGAAATATCCACTTCTGAAGAGTAAGACTGTAACCGTCTCACAAAATGTTACAGCAGCTGTTTAGACCAGAAAGAAAGTAGTAGTCTGACAAGACTGCCAGCTGATGCACTTAGAAACCAGCTTTGAAGGCACACCCTTAGTTCCTAAAAAAGGCTCTCTACCTCCTCTAAATATCATCCAGCCAAGTCATCATATTAGTTATCAGGACTGCACTTCGTTCAGATGATCTCTAATATCTTGCTGAGACCCCTTTCAGCTATGCCAGGGTCTTCGAGTTTAGATGAGCATCCAAGCTGGTAGATCTGAGTGTTTTCAGTTTAGTGACAGAGTTACACCCTAAATCACTTCGAGCTCTCTCTCTACACTGACCCACTGTGGATAACAAAAGCAAAATAAATATACAGGACATACAGAAAGACGCCCATGAAGCAGTTATGTATTAGAATCTCATTACCGGGGGGAGGAGACTCTGCATCTACCTGAGCTGCATCTCTGTCTCGGAGCCAGGTAGGTGTCCTGGGACTTTCAGGTCTCTGATTCACTATCAGGAACTGCCTTCAAAATGCTCCCATATCAAAACCCAAAATAATTAACGAGACTTCATATGTCAGTTGCTCCTTTGATGTCTTTGTTTCAAAGTGTTCAGTACAAACCATTGTGTTTCTGAAAGGAGGTAACAGTTGCTATGCCTACAAAGACCCTGCTCGAGAGGGGGTCAGAGAGCTGCTGCATGTTTGGACAGCTCCAGGGATTTTAGCTGATCTGAGAGAGGATTCTGAAAGGTACAATCCACAAGCTTCGCCCGGGTTTGACTCCCACAAAAGGAGAAATGGAAATACAAAGTCACATATCAAACCATGCAATTAATTCAAGATGTTGAATACATACATATGGCTTAGTTCATACATGTTTTTACCGTATTCATTAAATATTCCATTTGCATATGCCTTGATTTTTAGTATAAATATATTTTGCTGATGAGCTCCCTTCCCTGATTGTGCATTTTTGCTTCTGTTCTTCTCTTATACAGTGCTCATACTAGCAGATTTAGTTTTAGCACATTGGTGCTGACAGCCTGTACCCATGCCAGGTTTGTTCCATTTCTGATGCTTGGCTTATGGTTATTTTTTTTTGGTACATGCATGAAAATTAAATAAGGGGCTAGTGTACTGTAGTTAAAAATCTACTAAAAGGCAGTCTTTTAAAAAGAAAGTGTTTAGAAAACTTTTCTCAGAAGAAAGCTGTGAAAAAATGTATTTGTTTGATTTCTACTTTAATTGACAAGTTAGTTTCATAAAGACTCTTCTGAACCTCTACTTACTGCACAGCCGTCGTGAAGAGCTTTGATGTAAGGATTGTTATCATAAGACATTTCTTCATCATTCGATCCTAAGAACCTTAGCGCTTTGTCATAGCTGTCAGATGATGCATCATGCCAAGCTACGGACTGATGACAGTTGTAAGTGAAATTTTGTCTGGCAGAGGCACTCAGTAGTTTAAGGAATGTCATTTGGACCATATTAATGGAATTGCCTTCAACATCTAAATAGGAAAGCTGGAAAATATAAGAAGTTATGTGATTATTTATCTATTTCCATTGTTAAAATGCAAAACAAAATTATTGTTGACAAAAGAACCACCTAAGTGTCCTTAATAAAAAAACAACCAACATAAAACATTTCATGGAGTTTTACAATTCAATAAAGCTATGACTCAGTAAATAGATTTTCATGTTGTAGCCATGCATTTAGGATGAAAAGCTACATATTTTAGCTTCATTCTAATGGGAAAGACAGAGAATTACTCCTACCATACAGTGAGAACAGCCGAATCCCTTTAGGAATCTGTTTTTAGTTAATTGTAAAGTTATGTCAGCCTGCAGTCTCATCTTTGCATACTCAGTATATTTCCAGTTACCTAGAATGGGGCAGGGAATCTGTGCTCCAGCTACCTTATTAAGGTTCAGTGGTGATGTGTGGTCTGCCAGAAGCCAGATCCTCACCATCAGCTGTGCAGGTGACTACTGGGATCATTGTGGGACAATACAGAGTGGCATCCTGCTGTCCAGTGACAAGAGGCCATATAGCTGCTCTAATATTTAGGACAAAAAGGCTGGGGCTGAAAAGTCTTTTCATCATCTAAATATTTCTAAAATTCCTTGGGATCTATTCATCACTGATAACATTGTACTTGAGTTGTAAATAACTGTTACGTTTCAGTGACAACTTACAAGTTTGCCTCGCTTAAATTCACTAAACCAAGATCCTGGATTCTCCTTTGGCCATGACGATATTCTAACCTGTGTGGTAAAACAGCAGAGAGAGAAGCATTTAGAACATATGGTCACAGATATGAAGGTTTTACATTACCTGGGACAGATTTCACATTAGATCGTAAAGAATGGTTCTTCTTTCTGAGATCTCAGCCTCCTTAAAGCTCTAAAATAAGATGTTTTTCTTGTATAGAATGCCTTTAAATTAGTGACTTTAAATGGAATCCAAGGTGATAGCTTATGAAGAGAGCTAGTTCTATTTAAGGGAGACTGTTGTCATGTTAAGATTCAGGTAAACTGCTGGTATAAGTTGTTCCTGTGAAGAGTGTCTAAATAGGAGTTTTCACCGGTGTTGATGCTGATAGATCTCTGTCCTTTAGGCAAACTTTTAGAAAGCCTTCCTCTACACCATATGCCCCATCAGAGGTAATTTATAACGAGTGAGGACATTGTTAATATACATAATGTTTTACATCTACTTTGCATAGGTATAAATGCATAGATATAAATGAACCTACAATAGAAACACAGTAAGAGTTTAGCTTTTAGGTGGCAAATGCTAGATTCTGCCCTTTAACTGGCTGCACAGCTATGTTGCATTCTGAAATGTAGCGAACATTTAGCAAGCAGGTGCATAGATTCCCTGTCTGAGCAAGAGTGAAAATGCTGTTTGTTAACTCTGTGTACCATTTTACCACTTCATTCAGATTTATGCAAATTTCAGTATAATCAGAAAGACAGATATATGAAAATGTGACAAGTGTAATTATCCTGTTTAGTTCAACATTGCAACAGCATGGTAGGATCTGTCAGCAGCTGACTGAAAACACAGATTGGTACTTACCCCTTCAGATTTCTTATCGGGGTAGATGCAAGTTTCCCCACCTGCTGTGAAATTGCAGTATACTTTGAAGGAGTCTCCAGAACAGCCCTGATTAGGATCAATCCAATATTCCCCTAAAACAAATGAGAAAATAAATATTTGCCTTACATAGTAGAAATGGTATTTGGAAGATCCAGGTTTTACTGCTGCCTAATGGTCCTCCAAAGTTTGTAGCAAAGTTATTTTATCTGAATGATGAGAGAAAGCAACCCTTTCTTTTCTGCCGTGTGATTTGTTGCTGCTGTTGTTGTTTATGGAAGGTAACACCAGGATCAAAGTCTATTTTTATCTGCATCCTTTTGGTTTTGTCTAATTTTACTTCAAACCATGACTCTGTTGCGGGATACTGCTGAGGTTTTGGAGAAACTGCAGAAACCTCAGTCTAGAGGAGGAGGGACATTATGCGTGAAACATATGCTGCAGGTCTCAACTATTTGGCCATTTCAGTATTTCAGCTAGAAGGATCATTTGTGCCTCTGGTGACAGTACTCTGAGAAGCAGAGCAGAGGCAGCCTTAGGCAGAAATAAGTTATGGCTTAGGTCAGAGAGTGAAGTCTGGCATCATTTGCATACCTAGCTACATAAAAAGGTGGTCACACAGGGCTTGGTGAGGTTGTAGCTGGCACAAGTACCAAAAGCTTCCATTGAGAGAGATATACCTCAAGCAAAGATGTTTTTTCCTGCTGGGTTATGAAGCTGCAATGCTAGTGAAACTTCAGGCTGCTTTAGTTGATAAAAACACCTTAACTAACCAAGGTTAGGTGACATAGTAGGAAAGACAGTTAAAACTTGCATGAGGCTTCCCATAGTTTCAGCAGTCCTACCAGACTGCCACAACTGAGAATTCAGACCCTACAATGCTAGGGTGAATGCAGGCTGGGGATGAAAGAGAGCCGCAGTCAATCCAAGGTCCATTAAAAATCAGCGCTTTTTAAAATTTACCATTCTAATAATAACGATGATTTCTGTGATGTGGGTCCTTATCTCCATCTAGTTTCACAGCTAGTGTGAAAAAAATCATGTGAAAATCACATGATTTTCTGGCACTACTGTTCTAATCCAGTTTCAAGCAAATAGTGGAGGTTTCAAAGAGGTATGACAAATCCTTTCACCAGTTCTGTCTTCTGACAGGGCACAGACAAAGCATTGATGGTATTTTAAAATTCTATTGATTCAGGCTGTATTTACTGAAATAATTCTCTCCTACCTGTAACTCTTGTCCCTGGAGAATTCTGTATTTTAATGAACGCATTTACTTTTATTTTAACCAAAATAAGATTACTTTGATATGAAGAAAGCACCAAATAATAAGCAAATACTGGTAAATGAAGAAGGTGAATGTATTCTATAAAAAACATTCATTATTATGAAGGTACTGAATTGTAAAATATGTACTTTTCATATAGCACATACACTGCTTAACTACTCCTCAAGGCAACCATCTGTTTTTATCTATCTAGAGTGAAAGCAATAAAATATTATTAACTGTCAAAATCTATTTTTGCTCCTATTTAAAATCAGAAAAATATCGCTTTGAACTGGGAAAAATATCCACTGCAATCAAAAAAAAATATGAAAGGATGAAAACTCTGTGAAGGCTGGCTTTCATTTAAATCTTTCCAGAGGGGTAAACTCAGTTAGAAAAAAAAGAAGAAAACAACAAAGAATAATTAAATCAAGACAGTTCGTCAGAACACAGTGGCTTATTCATACTGCTCTGCATTTCATTAAGCTAGCACTTAGCAGCATTAAACAGTATCAGAGAAACTTGCATGTCTGTTTGCTGAATGATGTAGAACAAACAGTGGTCGTGCAGTAGAACAAATTATTGTTTCTAAGGGTAAAAGAATAGTAAATTTTTGACATTCATAATCAATAATTAATCTCATATAATACCAATGCTATTTTTTATTATTATGCTAAGCTAAAGTATACAGCTAATAAAATAATTCTTGTTTCTTTTAAAAGAAGCTATTGGCTATCTCAGCATGCTGTCATTTGTGGTTTTACTTTCCATTGAGCTAAATAACATTCATCTTTCTTCCCTCTCCTGTTTGGATAGTTCTGGAAATGCAAGGCCCACCTTTTAAAACAATAACTGTTTTTCATTTAGCACTTCAAAAAGTTTTAAATCTAAAACTAGATCAGGTTATGTATTTAAAGAATTTTGGCTTTTACCAAGATAATATCTCTTATTTACATTTTTTAAACTTTTATACCTGCAAAAATGGATTTAATGTGAGTGTATTTATTAAGCAACTATATTAACCACCTACCAATAATTAATTATTCTGCCAGAATATTTTAGCAGATCGTAACTTCAGCCTTGTTTGCCCTTATGATGCAATATTAACGTACCATCTGGGAAGTCTGGGTGGCAGAGTTGCAAGTCTTTGCAAGTTCGGGCTGGGTTATTCTGAGTGCCCATTGGATACTTCATATGCTCAATGTCTTGCTTCAGTGAATTCAAGGAACCAAAGATCTCTTCCATGCCATCGGAATAATCCAGAATATTATCACCAGCATCAGACAACATGTAATCAGGAGATCTTCTTGTCTTTTTGGGTGACTGGATTGGCAGCGGCTGGATTACCTCACCCGGAGGACCCTGAGTGGAAAACAACAATATCTGGTTACTTTTTTGTTTGCTTTTCAGCTGCATAAATACACAGAGGAAGACCACAGAACGTGGCTTGAAGATGCTTTGAATAGGCTTTCTGTTTCTTTATTTCACTTATTTCCTTCCTATTTATGCCAAGATGGTTTGATTTACTTGCAGAAAAAGGTGATTGTAGAAGGCCAAACCATTGTGGTGCTCTAAACTCTTCCCACTACATTGATGTTTTGGGGAAGAGTGTGCTGCCTTTGCATGAGTTAAGTGTGCAGAACTGGCTTGCGATTGTCTCTGTCCCTCGCAATTCCCTCAAGCACAGGCACAACCTATAACAAAAGAAAACTGTGGATGTTTCCTATGATAAAACTTTAAAATTCCACTTGGGGTCTATAAAGCAATATTTCAATTCAAGAAATTGAAACACTTCATTCATATTTGGACTGTTTTCATTTTAGGCTGTTATGATATGAAAAAGAAATAGTAGAAACAGAAGAGTATTAACGGGGGGAAACCAAAATAATTCTATTTCTTGTGCTTCAATATAACACATTAAATAGCTATTGCTAGGGGATTTTTTGTTTATGGGTTTTTTTGTGTTTTTTGTGGGGTTTTTTTGGTCTTTTGTGTTGGTTTTTTTTAAGTTTCTGTTGGCTTTTTCAGTGCAGACAATATATTTCTGTGTCTGGTGGATCTATGTTTCCTGAAAAAAACGAATTTTCAAACAATCATTAGTATTTTCCTTATCTGCAAGTTCACAAATGGTGTTTTCTACCCTTGTCAAAACAGGGTCATCATGTCAGTGTAATGTGCATGCATGTCAAATAAGAGTTCTTACTTACTGGAGGACCAGGTGGACCAGGTAACCCACTGTCACCCTTTTGACCAGCAGGACCCTATAAAGCAATGAAAGAAATGCAGTGTTGACTATGCTACACAATGTTAAAAAATAACCCACACAAAAGTTAAGTAAAAACAAAAAAATATGGAGAATTACTCACACTGGATCCTTTGGAACCTTTTGGACCTTGGGGACCCTACGGGTAAGAACATATAACTATAGTTGGAGTATATTCCACACAGCACAGGAGTGTTTTGAACAGGAGGACTGGATGAAACTACTTACAGGTAAACCAGGAGGACCAGGAGGTCCCAGTGGACCAGCAGGACCAGAAATTCCCTAAGAAAGAATAAGAGAATAAGTACAGAACTAAAGTATTCTACATACTGGACTGGATTGAAAAACACGTATCTGTGAAAACGGTAGTCCTACGAAGCATCCAACCCTCATGAGTTTTGATTTAGGCCACTTGCTAGGGTCCAAAACAGTTTGTAAGTTTAAAATATCTGACTGTTTGAGTTGCTTGTAATTGTTCTTATGCTGCAGTACTTACAGTCACAACTGTGTTCCCCTTCAGATTGCCTTGGAAACCTCACTTTTTACATAATGCCTTAAAGCACAGCTTAATAACAAGGAGAAAGGAAGCTACTGTAGGCAGTGCATTTAATAAACATGATGAGATTGGTGCTGTTAGTTTTATCTTGTCCCTAACCTAGGTGTATGTGTTTCCTTCATGTTCTGAAACACCCTATGATCTCATTTTAAGCTGTTTAACTTCACTGTGTTTGTACAATGCCTAGGCAAGTTTTAACCTCTAGCAGGAAGCTTTGGGTGTTAAATGTTTATAGCTACTTTATGTCTCTTGAAAGAAAGACTGGAATATGTACACTTTTCTGCGTGGAACTTGAATGAAAATAGAAGTATGTTTTACTCACTGCATCACCCTTGGCTCCAGGAGATCCCTGTGGGCCAGGAAGACCCCTATCACCCTTTTCACCCTGTTCTCCTGGAGGTCCGATTAGGCCAATCAAACCAGGATGTCCCTAAACAAGCCAGAAGAAAATATAGTTAAAACTCAATATATATAAAGTAAATGTGTTTTGCAAACATATGAATTAGAGCTTTCAAATGCCATCACTGTTGCTAGACAATAATTAACCTGAAAACAATTATTCTGAAAGCATGTTCATTATTGTTAGTTGCCCTTTAGACTTGGAGATTTTTTGCAAGCTGTGACTACTTATTCAGTGAAAGAGATCTAAGTGGCACATAGTCCTTACTGAAACTGATATAGAAATAACAACTTCAAATTTCATACCAACTTTCCCATTTAGATGTTATAAGCATATTATGAGGTTGCACATTTTTCCCCAGATGTAATATAGCTGTATAAACAGTTGATCAAGCACATAAACAAAAACTGAAATTCACAAGATATAATCCTATTCCTATCCCTTATCTGTACAGTTTTTCTCTGACACACAAGCAATCAATAAATTGTTGGGACTCTGTTAGAAAATGCTATCCTAGATGTCACAATCCATTATTTCAAAAGAAATTATTGCTACTAAACGTTTACATTTTGTTGTTTTAAAATAAAAATCTCAAATTCTTTTTATTTCTACTGTGTTTTCATAAAACCAACAGTTCTCTTTACATCAGCATCTTTGGGATTTTCATTGCAAGGAAGAATCACATGGTCAATAGATCACCACACAGGTTTCTTTCTACGTATCACCAGAATATCAGAAGTGGCTTAAAATTTCACAATTACTATTAAGGCTATGGGAGGCTGATTGATAGACAGGATCAGTGGTCTTGCTTCCTGATACAAAAACCCTAGTGTTTCTTTCCGCTAATTGATCCGAGGGCTGGAGCACCTCTCCTATGAGGACAGGCTGAGAGAGTTGGGCTTGTTCAGCCTGGAGAAGAGAAGGCTGCGGGGAGACCTGATTGCAGCCTTTCAGTACTTAAAGGGAGCCTATAGGAAAGATGGGGACAATCTTCTTAGTAGAGACAGCAGTGACAGGACGAGGGGTAATGGTTTTAAACTAAAACAGGGTAGGTTTAGGCTGGATATAAGGAAGAAATTCTTTACAATGAGGGTGGTGAAACACTGGAACGGGTTACCCAGAGAGGTAGTGGAGGCCCCATCCCTGGAAACATTCAAGACCAGGTTGGACAGGGCTCTGAGCAACCTGATCTAGTTACTGGTGTCCCTGCTCGCTGCGGGGGGCTTGGACCAGATGACCTCTAGGGGTCCCTTCCGACCCAAAACTTTCTATGATTCTATGATTCTAATTTGGTAAAGACTTTTAAACTGGATCAAAATTACAAAGGCACAAACAATGAATAAAGTATACCTTCTCTCCTTTGGAACCTGGGTCTCCTTTCAGGCCAGGCAAGCCAGGTGGACCCTAAAAAAATCAAGGGAAGTAAAGTAGCATTTAAATTACTTTATAAGTAGAAATCCGTAAAGGATTGTATGATGAGAAATCTGTGAAGCAGAGGGTTCCACTAAATTCTTCAAGAGCACTGAAAGCATCCAGTGAAGCAAGTGGTATTTTAAAAAAATATTCAAATAATTTTTTGTTGATTAGCCTAATTTTGCTTGTGATTACATTACATGATCTCATTTATTACTTCCACCGTCATTGCTGTACCATATTTTTGTTGCTTATTCTAGCCTTTTCTTTCATAAGCAGCGGGAAGTATCCTCTTAATTTGTTTACTCCCAGTTTACTACAGCTCAGTACAATTTTTGCAGAATGTAAATCAGGTTGCTTATAATAACTGCTCCTCAATATTGTTTTGTAGGAGAACTACCTCATATTTTGTTCCAGCACATAGGATGTTGTCTTGGGATTATGGTTTCCTTGACTTGCCTCCTGAAATTCCTGTATGACCCTCAATAATGCATTTAAATCTATATTTGCAAAATATTCAAGTCTTTTCTACTCACCATTGCAAGCTTACTTAATGTGATCTAGGTATGCTAGTTCCACTGACATCCAAGCTTATGGTCCTTTGTCACTTTTGTAAATGTGATTAGCTACACAAATTAGGTTTTGCAATACTAGTCTGGGCAATCCTAAACGCTTTTAGGAACTGCTTTAGTCACTTTGGGCCTCCACTCCTCATTTTTTGGATAGGGATAACACCCTTACCTTACAGAAGTGCTAAACTGACACCTTTTTAGGTACTTACATGGTTCACATCTTATAAGCAGCTTACAATTTTTAATTTCTATTTACAAGCCATTCATTATGCAGCACAGTAAAGACACACATTACTTTATGAAACTGAGTAAGAAATACTCTTAATTCTAAGTTTTATTTGCAGCTGTCCCTAAACATTACTCTATGCAACTAGAGTTCTGTAAACAGAAATATGCTGGGGCAGGAGACAGAGCTGTGAACAAACAACAGGACATCGATAGAACCATTCTACAAGCCCTTCCATATTTTTGGGGTGGGTGTCGGGAGGGGCGACCCAAAACATTCATTTTCTTCAGGTGGTTCCAATGCAAGCTGATGTTTAGAGAATCCATTGGAAAACTCCATTGCAGTCTTGCTACTTGGGAAACTACTGGAAAGGATAAACGTATTCACATGGATAGGTCTTACTTTCTGCACATCCCTTGCAAAAACCACTGAACTGTTTTCTTGTAGCTTGACACAAGCTTCTTTTCCCTGACAGTGTTTTATTTTAACTTTACTGGGGTCACAAGAGCAAACCATTAAAGATACTATTTTACCAATAGTCAAAAATATAGCTGGAGAGATAGTGGAGAAAAGATTACATACGAAGCTTGTTAAAATCTCCTTGGTCTATTGTTTTGTCTAGCTTTTTTTTTTTTAATTATTTTAATCTTTTTTTATAATTTTAGAAGAATTTGGGGGGGATTTGAGAAATCTGAGGTTCAAAAGAATGGCGGTGCTGGTTTTGCGTAATTTGTACAGAATGAGGTGAAAAATTCAGGCCACAGGGTGCATATGCAAGCACAGAAAAGGCGTTAATTACTCAGAGGCTATTAATCTCATACTGAACAGGTACGCATGAGGTGTAGAGCTGCTAGACTAAGTCAGTATCTCATCACTACTAGTCCTCTGCTGGCAGTGGACATCTGTGAAGTTACGATAGGGACAACAGTAATAAGTGACCTTTTCAACCTGGCACAGATTGAAAAGTGCCATAACACTTCATGTACAAAATATTATTCAGTGCGTATCCTTTCCATCTCTGCTTCAGGATATCATTAGATGCAAAAGCCTAGGTAAATACATAATTCATGAATGAAAAGTGAATTTTGTAAGCTTTTGGAATACAGAATCAGACATTTTCACCTGCAGTGTGTTGTGCTCTACTGCAAATATACTTTCACATTCTTGTCTTGATAGCAATCTGCTGTGGAGGGAGGGAGGGGAAGGAGGGAGACCTGACCTCAGCAATGTTTACATATAAATTTTAATTTCTTAAAATCCAGAATAAAGTTAAAGTTGCAGCAATGAGTCTAATAAAAGTTCTCGTTGAGCTGACAGGAAGCCTGTGCATTTGGGAGTATATAGTTCATTAATACACTCCACTTCAGATTTGAATTGAATATTTAAGCTCTCAAATGTTGGAAGAGAGATCTTTTGAAGATGTATTTGGAGGCTTCTGATGACTGACATGTGGGAAAGGGATGGTTCTTATTGCTGAATAATTGTTCTCTGGCTTTTAGATTTGGGCACAGAATTGCAACTAAGGAGATCAGTTTTCAGTTCCCTGATTTGTCCCCCATGCACTTTATTTGTACATTGGGCACATCTAAAAACTATGGTGAACTCTTTGGAAAGTAGAGGTTTTCATTATGGCCTTAGCACAGAAGGGAGTCCTTTCCCCTACAGCTTCTCATTCATTGTTCCCAACCTTTGGCTTACAAGCAATACGTTATCCATGAAACTTTAGGCAAAATTAGAATGTTAAAATGAAGGGCAACAAAAAGCTACAGTGTAAGGTTTCTTCAGCACATTATTTGCTCATTATTATTTTCTGAAATGAATGAAATTATATGTAGGTGCCATTGTAATACCATCTATAATTATACACGCAGAAGTGATCAATGGATACACCTATGCACCAGATCACTGTTTGTTGGAAAAAAAAGGAAATTGCTCACGTTCACATATGTACATGAATGTGAAAGATTGGTTTTGGGTAATTCTTAAGTTATGCAGCATTCAGTTTAAATTCCCCATTTTTTCCACCTTCATTTTTGTATGCTGGAAAAGTCTGATACAGAAAATTTATTGCTGATGCTCAGACCCTGAATTCTCACTGGGGAGGCTGGAATGCTCTTTGGAAAGATTTTGAGTTCATGTATATAGCTTAAGTGCAGAAAATTTCAGTATTAAGGCTACCCAAGGACCTGTATCCTTTGTGTCCTCTAAATCCATATAGGAAAAGGAACAGAGGATTTCCTTTACACTTGCTACTCAGAGCCTTACTTTTCCCCTTTAAGAACCACACCATTTCTGAAGCAGAGGATAGCTCCTTATTGCCCTGTTCTCCTAAAGTAATCTGACTGTTTATGTTGCCATAGTTAATCTTCTGGCCAAAATAATAGAGTGGATTTTACTTAGGATGCGATAACAATGCTTACAAACTGTAAAATGCCTTGACAGTGTAATACTTGTTTATTTTTTTTTCACCAAACTATAACAGTCCATGTTTTGTTTTGAAGCTTTTTATTCCCAATGCGTCACTCAACTGTGATAACAGAGGTGAACTCTACTTCAATGAGTTTAGAGAGCAAGGAATATGAGATCTTTCCACTAAATTGGATCACCATTGCTTGAGATGTGAAGAATGAACCTGCTGGCCATACTGTTTAGTTTTGGATTTCTGCACATAATGCTGAATAAGAACACCAGTATTGTGCAATTTGTGCTCACAGTGTCATTTTTTCAGCCTGTTTGAAAAAATGCACTAAAATAGTAAGTGTAAATAGAAGCAATGACATAATTTGATAATATGTCATCTATAAGCTTCCCTTGCTTTAATCATATTATTAACACAGAGTAGAACCGTGGCGTTCCCTAGATGACCTAGAAACTGGGAGCTTGGTTCATTCAGAGCCTTTTTAACACTTTAGTCACGGATTATATTTCCTGGAACTACCACAATGAACAACACACGTGATGTTGCTGTTCATTTTTATAAAACCAGAATGTTTTCTTATTTGGTGGCCCCACTTCTGATTTAATTTTTTCTTTCTCTAAGGAATAGATATGATCTAAAACTTTACCCTATGAATATTGTTTTCCTAAACTAGCAGTCATTAAAATCAATGGATGTACAAAATTTACCACTGCTAAGGAAACAAAATGATTTAAGCTATTAAGCTTTGCTGATGTGGGGACAGGAATAGATTTTTGATTGTAAGCTTCGTTCATTTTATTTTTATTTTTAATTCCATTCAAGGACTTCAAGAATTTAGTTTTACACTGCCTTTTTACCTGGTATAACTCAGCAGGATTCAGCACAGCTGCCAACTAAAGTAAAGCAGTAAAATGAAAGCAGTCGTGTATCAGATTTTACCAGCACAGAAAAATAGTGACTTTGTGCTAAGAATTGACTGCTACATTAATTTTTTCTGTATATGCACAGACACGTCAATGGTATATTTTAACGGGTGCTTTTTCTGTGTTGGCACTGCAAGGAAGGGTACTCACCAGAGGTCCAGGAGGGCCATCCTGACCTGGTGCTCCAGGTAGACCTTGTTCTCCCTAGAGAAGACATAAAGTTTGCTTTACCAGAGGATATACAAGAAATGCAACATCTAAAATACTACTATATGCTCAGCTTGCTTACCACAGGGCCAGGAATACCCCGGAGACCCTCTGGGCCAGGTTTTCCTGCAGGTCCCTGTGGACCAACTGGACCTGTTTTTCCAGGAGCCCCTTCTGCACCAGGTTCACCCTAGGAAGAACATAAGCAACAGGTCAGAGAGGAAGAGCTGACTAAGCTTGACACTGTAGGGATATAGAAGCTGCAAAGTGAGAGCAAAGTTTTGTCACTCCATTTTTTAAGAGCTATTCTAAAACAGTGTTCTGCACAGGACGGTTTTCTGAACAAAAGTCTGATAGCTTCATATAAAGATGCCAGCAAAGCATGCTCATCTTGCTTTTCTGCAGCAGTGAGCTAAGTTGGGCCTGCACTGGTGAGAGTCCACTGTGTACTCCATTATGTATTGCTACTAATTCTGGCTCTTAATTTGGATTTTATGGTGTACCTATTATCTCTTTGATAAGTTTCACACTCGGTGCATGATGAGCAATTTACATTTTGTTTATATATAGTTTACATTTCCATGCCTCTGAAAAAAAGCTTGAATGTATTACCTTTGCACCTTTTTCACCTTGTCTGCCTTCAGCACCAGTTGCTCCAGGAGGTCCCTGTAAAAGATGGAGACTGAGTTCATAAATCCGTTTTCTAAAATATTACCAGTGAAAAAATTCTGAGTGCAATTTCCACTGTATTAATAAGTAGTAAATACTAACAAAAGAACATTAAATTTCTTTCTTGACATTTTATTCATAGGATAAAAATCCCAATCTGTCACATCAGCTCTTTTTCCCCTTCATAAAATTTTCTGGGATTTTAGGATAACTAGAAGAATATATATCGGCTAACTCTGATATGATGAGGTTAAAAACAAATAAATAGCACAGAAAAAATCAAAACAGGATATAAAAGGCAAAGGAAAAGAACAATACTAATTTACATATACAATAACAGTTTTAAACTTGCTTTGCATTTGCTTCTATCTATTTGCTGTAGTTTATCCACTGATTCAGAAAGGGCCTGTCATTCTACAGTGCACAGAATGGCATATACTTCTGTATTCTCTAAGCAAGGGATGGGCTTAGTAAGCCTTCTGATTACATTTGGACAGCCAAAAATTGACACATGCCTTAATATTACCCAGTAAATATGAAAAGAAAAACAAAAATCACATTACTAGAGGTTGTAAGGAATGAAAAAAAGACACTGACTACAAAGAGCACTTGGTGTCAGGTTTCCTGCTATTGCTCTAGGAAAGCTCTGACTAAGAGGGCAGAAGTCCGTACTGCAGGAGGATGGAGAGGTGGGATAAGGTGGGATAAGGTTCAGGTGAAGGCCACAAAGCAAGAGCCACAGTCATCTGGCAGCACTGTGACTACCTATTGCTGATGTCACCCATCTTTCATTTTCTTAAGGTTTTAGTGAAAAGTAAAAGACGTTTTTCTCCTCCAAAACATCAAGGGCTGATTTTCAGGTCAGAGAATTAATATTCATAGCTTCAGTTATGAACAGAAGCAGTATCTAGAATCTAATGTACTCTTTGAAAATGGTTCTCTCATATATACTTAGTTGAGAAAAGAGACAGTCAAGATAATGGACCAACTGTTTTCCTACAAGGTTAATGTTTAGCCTGGGAAATGTCTTTATTACAAGTAACTATTTCTTGCCAACCAATGGGCAGCTTAAAGCAAAAGGAAAGAAATGTGACTGATGAAATACAAGGTGATTTTCTGAATCTATAAAACTTACTCCCTAATACTCATCTGTTCCTTAATGCAACAAGCAGTTTGTTCTGTAGAAATTAAAAAAGATGTTTTAAGGACCAGCAACAAGAAAAAATCAACCGCTTCAATTTATTTACTGCTTTTTACTTCATAGCAATAGACACAAAAATGCAGTCCCCTAAAAGTAAAGCATTAAACCACATTCTTACTTTTACAGAAAAGAACTGTTCTTCCAGCCAAGCATCTTACCTATATGCTTTGTGAGCTCAGAGCTTTAGAACAGAGTTTGACCTAATAGCAATTTTTATACTAGAGCTGAATTTCGCTTAAACTTTTTATAGCCTGAAATATTTCATGATCCACTACTACTGGCACATAACTTGGGCCACTCCACAAGTTTTAACTTAATTCCTGCAAATTTACATTCACTTTATAACTATTTACATAGAAGTATATTAAGATCATTCATTTGCTTCTTAAGTTAAGCTTTCTCCAGGGTCGAACTGAACATCTACAGTACTGTATGAACCTTTTGGCCAACAGAGATAGTTCAGGCTTTCCATCAAAGGTAATGCAAAATGAGTTAAATTACCCACAGTGAACTTTGGTCATTTGTCATGGGTATCAACAGGTTGTTCTCTTTGGTATTTGTAAGAGCTGTAAGTGGTAAAGGACTTAGTTTCACCTCTTGAAAATACAGAAATGCTAAGCCCTGCACAGTGTGGTCTGCTGACTCTTTAAAGCAGGTAGAATAATTCAAATCACTACTGTTCCAATAATAATCTTTGATGCATATACCCCTTTGTGTAGGTTGTAATTGGTTGGGTGGGTAACAGTTCGCAGCAATCACAGGAAAAATAATTAGTAGGTATATAAACAAACTCAGGAACATTTTAGAAACAGGACTTTTTTTTCTGACATTAATTAATTTACGTGCCCATTGTCTTTACTGCTTTGAAATTCCTTTCACTCAAGTTCCCTTATGGATGATAGCCTACCCTACCTAAGAAGCTGAAAAGGGTTGAGTGTGGTAGTTTGTATTTGAGTTATATGGTCTCTGCATAATCTAGAAATGCAGCTGCAACATGAACTAGCAGGGCTAAAACCACGGTGATCGCTAAATTACAAATACAATGAATCATGATTGCTAAACAAAGGGCGTGCGTTCATTATCAAACAGTGCCAATGCTGCACCAGGTGCAAAGCTGCTAAACGAACTGTTCTTTCTAACAGGCTGTGATTGCTGGCACGGCACAGATGGTGCTTCTACAGAGAAAGACTGCTAATCATTATTTATCTTACCTTCCTACACTTGAGTTCTTGGAGTGCCTCATAAGTTTTAACTGACAGAAAAGATCTCAATAACAATAATTTTAAATTAATGCATGGCTCCCCACCCTCACCACCCCAGCTACCATGGTGATTTTTATGTTCATTACACTTCAAGTTTGGACATATTGCCTGATACATTTTATGCAGAACTGAGAAAAGAAGTCATACAGAAACAAACTTGTCCTCAATTTTTGTTATGTGAACCTATTGGACATTTTTGTCTGCTCTTTGATATTTCATAATTTCATTAAAATATTTTAAACTATTGTTCATAGCTGTCTGTCATCTGACTAAAAACATGATTTCCAACGCAGAAGAGCATTACCACATTTCATCAGTCTGTTAAGATAGGAACCTGGTGTATTTTTAGGTATTCTGTGTGTTTTCAATCAAGAGAGAAAATCAGTTTAATTTTTAAGAGATGTGTGCAACCTCCTGAGGCAGCATGATGCTGTAGCCAAAATGCAAAAATCCCCTTCCTAGAAACACTTCCTTTTTTTCTAAGTTACTCAACTTTGTATAGAAAGGCAACTAACCAAATAAACTCTGCTTCTCAAAATTTAGAGGCTGGCTTTGTTGCACTATTGACATCTGTTTTATTGAAAACAGACAGTATATAAATTGTAACATTTTTTAATTGATACATGGAGCCTTATGTGTATGTGATCTAGATATCTAATTGACTCTAATAATGAAAACAGCCAAACAGCAGAAAACACAGCTGAAGGGCCTAGCACACTGAAAGGTTGAGAGGAAGATAAGCAAGAAGTACTATCTGTGTTGATTTTTATTGATTTTATGTTAATTGTTTTAACAATGAATGTTCTTTGATGGTGTCTTTTCCTCATGCTATTTTTAACATTTTTCAGCTAGAAATCAATTAATTCAAACTAAAGATATTACGCAGTACTCTATGGCAAAACAAAACAAAAAAAAATCATGCCAAAAGTATGCACAAAGAATTTAGTTTCAGAAAAAAATAGTAACAAAATAACTGTAGAGTGATTCAGTCTTTGTATCGACATTTCTTGATAAGCAGTCATTGGATCAGGAGGCCTTTTGAGATGTTCCACTTCTCATTGACCATGACTCACTTATCTCCTACTTTGGAAGGAGAAGCTGGAGAACACTACACCTCCTCAGAAACACAGTCGTCACACAGTATGCTGTTGGTCAATGCTGATGCTATTATGAGAAACAGGAAAGCTGTACAGCTGAGAACTCTCACTGGCAAGCCCATAGCAATTTGTGAACTCCCTGGTTGTCTTAGATTGCTCCAACAACAGTTAACGTTATAATGCAGTTTTTTGTCTTCAGAACATTTAGGAACACTTCAGAAGCTACATTCTTCTGTGAGGTTGGCAAGTTTCATTCCGCTCTTTTCACAGACAAATTCAGACAGCAATATTACAAATGTTTAACACGCATATAATGGGAAAAGGATTAGAAAAGGGCTTTCTAGTCCCAGAGCTGTGCTAGACTATCTGTCTGTTCAGCTTGGAATGTAATATACATACATGTAATATACATACATGTAATGCCTCAGGCTTTCTAGAGAATCTAGGCTGATCAGTGGAGAACTTGTGAAAGGATTTGATGATGGAAAGAGAGGAAGGTGCCCCATCTCAGCAGCCATTCTCAAATCAGACAGAACTGGTAAGGCTAGAGTTGGGTCTGGATAGCTAAGAAGTCAGCAATCCGCTGTGGGCTACCTCCACCAAAAAGCCTATTGTGCTGGATATATAAAGTAAATATGACAGCCGATGAAGTGGTAGCCATTGTGTCTAGCCTCTGAGGTCTTGAACTGTGTTCAGTTTTGAGCCACTCACTACAAGAAGGGCATTGAGGTGCTGGAGCATGTCCAGAGAAGAGCAATGAGGCTGGTGAGGGGTCTAGAGAACAAGTCTTATGAGGAGCGACTGAGGGAACTGGGGCTGGTTAGTCTGGAGGAGAGGAGGCTGAGGGGGGACCTTATTGCTCTCTACAACTACCTGAAAGGAGGTTGTAGTGAGGCAGGTGTTGGTCTATTCTCCCAACTAACTAGCAATAGGACGAGAGACAATGGCCTCAAGTTGTGTCAGGGGAGGTTTAGATTGGCTATTAGGAAGAATTTCTTTACTGAAAGAGTGGTCAGGCATTGGAACAGGCTGCCCAGGGAGGGCGTGGAATCACCATCCCTGGAGGCGTTTAAAAAATGTGTAGATGTGGCACTTCGGGACATGGTTTAGCAGGCATGGTGGTGCTGGGTTGACGGTTGGACTTGATGATCTTAGAGGTCTTTTCCAACCTATGATTCTATGATTGATCTGGCAAGATGCTTAAATGGGCACTGAAATCTGCAAACTGAAACAATGCATGTTTCCTAGGAAGTTCATGTGCTATGTTGAATCAGGAATACCAGGAAAATTTTTCAAGTAGCTCTAAGAGATTTCTTAAATAGTATAAGTTTACTTTTAAAGTTCTTTCATTCACATCATAAGGCTTTGGTGGCTTTGGCTTAAGATAAAAATGTAATTTTTGGAAACACTGTATTTAACTGCTGCTGAGCATTCTTCAGAGAGATGATGCAAACCTGTTAGCACTGGCCCTCTAGAATGCTAAATTTAGCACCAAAATATTGCAATTTAATTGCTCAAGTTTTCCAATCTATAGTTATGAACATATATATATATATAATGTATATTACAAAATTGATAACTTCATTTTCTTTTGGACTTCAATAACAATTATGACATGCTTTTACTTCTACACTATTCTCATTCACATTCTGTGATCAGTATTCCATTACCTGGCAATTTCTGCCTAAGAAAGAGTAGCAAATGCTTTTGTGTATGTTCCTTTTATTTTAGAACTATAACCTTTTTGGGGATTACCAAGTATAAGAAAACTTTTTTAAACCAGGGGAAAGACGTTTTCCCCAAATACTTCCAACATTTACTCCTGTTTTTTTATTGTTAGTATCTTCTTTTATTAAAAGTTATAAAGATAGAATTTATACAGAATAAAAACCTGTCTTGACTATCCACGTAAAGCAAGTTGTGTATATATATGTGTATTCTTGTATATAGGAAATATTGAGCACAGTCTTTTATTTCATTGACAAGATAGTCTTGAAAAGAATTACTATTTTTTGAATTCATTATAGGGTATTTTATCACTGAATTCAAAAACAGACTTAGTCAATAATAAACTAGTCTCTGAAAGTCTGATCCAATGAGTATGTATTTTTAAATCATTTGGTGTTTTGGGCATTGAGCCTCTCTTGCATTGAACTGCAGAATCTGGCCTTCCATTTATTAATGATACAATCACTTCAGCTATATGTTTCCCTTGATAGATTTCATAGATCTAATTTTCTAAACGGTATGTACACAAATCCACGCTAGATTTGCACGCACAATTACCATAACTACATAGATGTATAAAGCCTTCTGAGCATGTATTTGTCTGATCTGATACACGCACAGATCATTTCAGAGGTCAGGATCTGTAAAACATTAATTATGATTTAATGAAAATTAACAAAAAATATATGTAATCACTCAGAGATTTTATCAATGACTATGTCACAAGCTTTGCCCTTCATAGATCATTTTTTTGGCCTATAAATATATATATGTAATCTAGTCATTCATCTGAATATAGGACTTAATTCTGAAGACACTTTCAGCTTTGTAAGGGAGAGACCAGTGTATTTGTGGTATTTTGACTTTCTGAAAGGCAATGGTGGAAATACTTTTTGGAAGAGCAATTATTAGGTCTGAAAAGTAATATCTTAATTAGGGTACACATTTTGTGGATGCTCAAATGATCCATTCTTGTTTCATCCACAGATTTAACCTTTTATTTTGATTTAGACTTGACCTAAGTAGTCATTAGCATGCTAGTCAATTTTACCTCCTCAGAGCAGGAATGTGGAACAGGCTTATTGTTCTGATATGTTCTTCCTAAGTGGTATTTCTTAAAAGAAATTCACCGTACTGCTTGTCCATGAGACCCTTGCTCAGTCTGCAAGGCTCTGGTACTTACTGTCAAAGCCTTTAGACCACAACAGTAAAACAGTTTTGGTATTTGCTTATCTCACCAACTAATAGTAATCCTATTACTGTTGCCCATAAATAACTAGGAAAAATAGTTTATTCTTGACCTTCACTTGATAGTTGAATGCCACTGTGAGTAGGTATCTGTAGCTGAAGTCTCTTCGATACAACGGGAAAACTCTATTTAAATCCACGTCTTTCACTAGAATTTGTTTTCCAGGGAAAGCTGAGGGAACCTCTTTATAACTGGCTACGCTAAACACAGATTGCTCAAAACTCTGAAACCTGGTAATAAACATAATTTCATAAGACCATGCAGTGAAACTGAGTTCAGATCAGTTCCAAAATACAGGGGAAGAGGGGACTGAAAATGAATAACAGACCGCACAGTTGAGGAGTTCAAGGGACTAGATTTAAAACTATGAATCCTCAGCTCTGCGAGCTTATCATTTCAGAGACAGAAAAACAAAAAATTGGGTGGAATGTTGCTTTCTAGTACTGCACCTCCATAGACAGCAGTGTTACTGCTGAAATGGTATATCCTTCTTAATCTGGATGAAAGGACACTTGTTAGGACTTTTTTTGAAATTAATTCTACCATAAAAAAATGTTCTTCATTAGTTTTCATCAGCTGTATGTTCATTCTGCCAGCAAAGCATGGAGCTTTCAATCCTCCACTGTTTCCTTCTGGTATAATATCAATACAGTACAGACTCTCTACAAGCTTGAAACATTCAGGTACTCAAGTAATGTAGAATCTGATTCTACAAAATGTCCTCTTCAGAATTCACGAATGGGATTACTTGGCAATGTTTAGCCATACATTTTCCCAAATTTGGAAATGTGTCAAACTACAGGTGATGGGATATTTGTGTTTCTAAAGTGTTTTTCTGTTTAGGTACAAATCAGATGCAATATATCTGATCTATTAGGAATGAGCTACTGCCTTTCCAGATAATAAAGTAGGAAGTTCTAATTTGATGTCAGACAAACATACTAATTGCTAATATTCAATCCAGCCATTTTTCAGTTCTGGTGATAAGGTTGCTAATGCTACCATAATCATTTACAGTTTACCAATGTTTTGCAAGCTGGTGTAGCAAATAGATTATTGTGTAAAATAGAAAAAACTAATTAGGCATGTCAGTTCACTCAAGCCTACTAAATAGAGCAATTTAACACATTTTGTTAAATAGCTCTCAGTTTACATTTAATGATGCCCCCTCCCTAGTTTTTTAAAGTGTAAAAACTGCATCTGATTGCTCTTTGAAGCAGACCTAAAGGTTGATGCATCTACTACAGTTCTGTAAGTGTAACAGTATATACTGGTTTTGATTAGCTGTATTTGTAAAGCCTGTGAACCTTCAAAGACTTTACAAATAATGGAATGGCTTCATAAGTTACACAAATGTCTGCTTGGTAATTTTGTATGCAGAGGGATGACATAGGTTTCCACAAAAGCTGCATGGAAATTATTTTATTTCAGAGGCTAAAGACACCAAAGCAGACACATTCTTCCTGCTCCCTGCCAGCAGTCACGTGCCTAAGGATGATCTCTTGTATTACTCTCATAATCACTCACTACTATTAGCCGACTAATTCAGCACACACTGAATTTTTACCCTAGCAGACACTGAATTCTGTGAAAAGAAAAAGTGCATTTATAGATAAGGAATAGATGCTTCCCTATGTATTTTTGTTCCTATGTTCCGTGTAACCCACGTTAAAGAGTTTTCTCTGCTGTTTCTATTTTCTCATTTCTCCTATCACATTACTTCAAAGAAACTTCAAACACCATATATGAGTGTCACAACATGGAAAACAAGTAGTTGAACTTCTCTACAACATAGTGTCTCAGAAAGAGAAATGTGTAAGAGAAAATGAGAAATCACTTACTCTTTTTCCAGGTGGACCAGGTGGGCCAGCTTCACCTGAAGGACCTGGTGGACCCTGCAATGGAAAATTATGAGCTCAGTGGTAACAAAGGATAAAGTTATTGTCTTTATTAAGTGCAACAAACTTCTGCAATATGTTGGCCCCCTTCAATGGACAGAAAGGAAGGACCATAAATGCACAGAAAGAAGTATACCTGATTATTCAACAAATAATTTCTTAGGGTGGTCTTTTGAAATTTTTAACAGCTTTTGTTGCTGTACAAAATGCAGTCATTCTTTTTTTTCTCTTCCTGTTTGCAACAAAATATTTCAAATCAGGAAGTGGCTGCGCAGAAGTAACATATGGTCTTAGCCTACTGCCTAACTCCATTAAGAAGTTTCTTGCTTTCTCAGGTGCTGAAGTTGTTACTTTTGCTAAAATTTTTTCACTTACATCTATGATTTAGCTGCCCCATGGGCAGCTTTCTTTTGACAAATCTTTTGTGCACTGATAGCCATTTGGCTACTCCATCTTGATAAGCTGTGATACTCTTGAATATTTCAGGGTTGCTGAATAGTTTGATAAGCTTCTCATCAGGCACACAACACTCTAAAAGTACTTACTGTTAAGTAAGATGTACAGATACCAATTTCCATTTGCGGGTAAACCCCAGTTTAGAACTTACTTCCAGCCATATGTTGAATGTACTAGCATTTTTTAGTTTGAAACTGTAGTGTACAGGATAACTCCCTGATAATCAGAACTTCTAGAGCTAGAAAGAGACTTTCCAAAATGGAAACCCTATCTTTTGCAATAAAAGAATTAAATTAATGATGTCCTAATATGGGAATTACAGAGATATAAGATCTTTGATGCTTAATATGGTTATTGCTCAGATGATTCTTAAACAAAAAACATCAAGGTTTTGCTTCGTTTCATCAGGTGAGCTGATGAAGATTATTTGGCTGCAGAATTCCTTTCTTATGCTCATAGCTGCTCTATTTTTAGTGCACCTCAGCAGCTCCAGCACAAATCTTTAACACATCATTTGTTTCCACTTCTAAAAGAAATTGAGCTCTTGCTTCTGATTGTGACTATAATATGGGCAATTCTATCTGTACAAGGAAATAAATAGATATTTTTCAGTATAACAGAAAAAGCATCCATTTAGAAAATATTTTTAAGAGTATGAATATATAGAAATCACTGATTCAGCAAAAGATACTTTCTTAGCATAGGAGAGAACATGCAACTGAAATAAAATGACTGAAACAACTCACAGGCTGACCAGGATCACCATCTTCACCCTTCTCTCCACCAACACCATCCTGACCCTACAGAATTCATGGGAAAATAAACAAAATACAAAATTCAGCTAAATTAAGTAGCTTAGTTTCATATATGAATATATATTTTTCTACAAAGCATTTTCCTAAGGACGCTAGTTTTCAAAACTTTAAAGATTTCTAAACCTTTTATAAGCATTAGAATTATATGAACAGAAAAGCAGTAGATCTTACAGGCAACACCTCATCCCCAGACAAGGAAGAGGCAGAGTTAACTAGAATTTAGTGCAAACCAAGACTAGGACCTGTAAGTGTTTTTTAAGTATACTTACAGCTGGACCAGGTTCCCCAGGAGGACCAGGATCTCCAGGAAAACCAACTGGGCCCTAGATAAATCAGGGAAAAAACCAAGTAATGTGTCATCCATTGACAAGCAGGTAGCTAGCATCACAAATATTTTACAAAGCATATAATGAATTTAGTTCAAGTGTAGAAAATGATACACAATTCTATATGTAGCAGAACTTCAGCACTGCTTCACAGTGCTTTGTGTTAAAATTATTAAGCTCACTTACTGGGTTACCCTTGGGCCCATCATCACCTGGAGGTCCCTTAGCACCTGGTGGTCCAGCTGCTCCAGGTGGACCAGCCTCACCTTTCTCTCCCCTTTCACCTTTTGGACCCTGTAGAAAACATATGAACACAAAAATGTCAGCTGGAAACTGAATGGCTAAAAAAAGATTACAATGGCAAAACTATTTTTTTAGACCTGGGCAATGTTACTCATCAATAAATGCTGGCCTGTGAATGGGAAATTAGGACCTCAGCCTCAGATTAGAACACCTGTGAGTATCAGGTTGAGTGCCAACATCTGCACCTAGTTTGCTACAGTGAACTGTCTTCAGACATAAAAACATGCATGTCAAAGTTAATACTTCTGGAAGAAAAAATACATCCTCTCTTAGGAAGTCTTCAACTTTGTCCTCTAGCTGTTAGTACAAGATGTGATTATAATCATAAGGAAACAAATTGCATTTTAAAGGTGTAATTTCTTCACTGAAAATGTAAAGAAAATGTACACAAGTACTCAAGTAGTCTGATTAAATGCTTTCGAAAGTAAGCACTACCAGATACCTTAGTTCACCATAATAAAGGTTAATAATACAAAACCAAAATACTCACAGATGTTCCAGATTCTCCAGGAGGTCCAGGGTTGCCAGCTTCTCCAGGTTCACCCTGTAAATGTATGAGAATAAATTGATGAGTCATTAGGAAGAATATGTCTATGAATTTATTTCTGTTATTACATATTCTTCTCATATGTATTCATGTGAACAGTTTACAAGAACTGTCTTTTATTTGGTCTACCTAAAGGAGGTTGAGTTACATATGGTTTTGCAGAACTGGAATCTGAAATTTTAGAGAGAACATATCAAACTAAGATTTTAGTGAGCCAGGGAGACTAACTTTCCCTTTGGACTTTGGAAGAGCTTCCCCGTTATTGTACCATATATTGCAGATTTCATGTTTGTCATCTTTCTTTCTAGTCATAGAAAAGCCAGAGAAGTATATTGACTGTGTATGGTGTTTTCTCTAGGAGATACATTTTGCCTGGAAGTAAGTTTCTACAAAGAAGAGAATACTAATTGGAAACAAATGTCAATGGATATCATTGCTATAGCTACTGTTACAATAAAAAATTATATAAAGAAAAACATAAGGAAAAAATAATAGCGTAACAGCAAAACTTTCAGCACACACCAGAAAAGTGTACACTACATATTTACTGGTGATGGAAATAGTAAAGCAGATGGCTTTGAGGATGACACCACATGAAGAAAATCTGTGCAAGTCAAAGTTTATTCATGATCAAGTGAATGTTTAAATTCATTCAGTGTCTTTTTTGGCTCAAAGACTGTCTTTGCAATTGTTCATTTTAAAGTTTACTGTGACTGATTATTTTTTCTAGCTCAGTGGTCTGATAAATAAACCTTTATATAAACTACTCCGTTAGTAGAATATTTAGCTATTAGCATCACAGACACAGAGAAAAGATAACAGAATCTGCTTTGTGATTGTCATAGAGTGCTGAAATAAGAACTATGTATTTTTATTCCAAAGGATTTCTCAATGTAACTGCTAATGGGGGGATTTTTTTCCCCCCCATATATATTTTTTTCCAAACCAAATGAACCTTGCCAATAATTATGCCTATAAACAAGAGTACTTCAGTGCTGAAAATGCATTTCATCCAATCCCCTCTATGGAACTCAAACACAGATTTGGAATAAATTTCTGTATCCTTCATATCCTATATGACTTGCACGCCCCTCTTCATTCTATGACAATTCAATTAATACAACATGCATGTCTGTCATTTCCATGGGGACAGTATAAAAGTATAACTCATAAAATATGTATTTTAAATGAATCTTATGGTGTAGATACAGAATGTTTTTCACAGAAGCTAATGGCAGCATGGTGACCTCACTGGGTTCAGAATTTGGCCCAATGTAAATATTGCATTAGATGAATGGAAAAAGATCCGAGTACTCAACTGAATTCCAGCACAGGATAATTAACAGATTACCACCATTTTAGGAGCAATATTAAAATGTCCTTTAGAAAGGGCACTGTTAAAGGGTGAGTTTTCCTTTAGAAACTGTGGTGTGTTTTATTAGACATAATTTTTCAGTAATCTTAAAAATTAATGATCCCTCTTAGTACTTAATAGTCATTTGCTTCTGTGATACAGCATTCGTTATTTTTTTTTAAAAGTCTTATGGATACTTCAGGTCAATAACCATTAAGTATGTTTTCTAGGAAAATTCATAATCTTCATTTCCTTATCCTCTGCACAGGATTTATTGAATCTGCAGCATCATTAGTATTGGGCTTTTGTCCATGCCTACTATCAATCAAATTAGATTTATGTAGCAACAGAGAATGAGGTCTGGAATTAGAAAACAAATTGATGTTATTCAAGTTAGTAGAGGTATAATATCTAACAGTCCACAATATAGACCCCTTCAACAGGTGTCCCTATTGCAGGACTAACTGAGTGACACAAGAATGCTAACTGTGCCAAGTCTTGCCTGACAAGGACCTGTGCCAGTATAATCCCCTTATCAGCTTCCCAGTGTCAGTTGTTCTTCTGCTTTTCTGCCAAATGATACTGCAATTTATGATTATTCACATTTGATTTGTAATCTACTCTTTACCCTTCCTGTTGACAAACGCATCTTCATTTTATGATACCACGAAACAAGAGAAAAGATGGGCTTTCTCTGACATATTGACTTATATTTTGGGACAATGGGGGAACACTGTGCTTCTGGGATCTCAGGGTCCCTGCTATAGCACGCAAGTTGAATTTGGCAGAGGCAGGCAGCCTATATGAGCCTATATGAGCTCTCCCCAGCAAGCAGCAGCGTGGAAGACAGCAGAATTGGAAGGGCTAGAAAATGTCAAGGTGCTCCTCTTAAAGGGCTTCTGTGAAAGATGAGACCAGTTAAAGTTTCATCTCACATTAATACTTCTAAATCATTGCTCTGTTAAAAAAATGTGACTCTCTCCTGTATGCAGTCCTTGTTTTTTCCTAATGCTGATTTTTATATTCCAAATATTAGGTACTATGGAAGGTTGTGCTTGTTTTAGACAGCTGTTAAGTGAGTTAAACAATGTTTTGATAGAGAAGATTGTAGCTGACATGTATTTACAGAGTGCATATTTATAGCAAGTAAAACCTGTACAATCTGTAGGTTATTGTTAGCCCTTGTCTTTCTTTCCATTTTTGGTAAGGTTGGTATTAATTCAGAATGCAAAGCACCTTCTCCATGAGAAATATCCCATGTACTTTTGGGACATAGATTTTATGAGTTAAGAATAAATTTATTTCACCTCTGGATTTTTTTTCCCCTTTTGTTATCAGGTCAGGTCTTTTAAAAGTTAGTGTGGTCTTTCTTAGGCAAAGCTCGCTCTGACAGAATTTCAACAAGCAAAGACAAAAATTCTAAAGTACAAAGAGTCATGTTGTTTCATGGACATGTTTAATTCTGAAAATCTCCTTGGATTAAGCAAGCAGAATGATTTGTATGAGGCTAAGGACAGTAGTTTAAAAATGATTTGTTTTCTTTATTATGACCAGTTCTAGGGAACTGTCCATACAAATCACAAGACAGAGAGATAGTGGATGGAAGGCTGCCACCTTTTGGTTTCATTCTGAGATGTGATGATTTATTTTTGAAGAATGAGTGGCAACTTTGCAATGATTGGGTTGTGAAACGGGTTCAGTTACACTTTTGGTCCTTTTTGCCATCCTCACAAAATAGAAAAAAAGAGAAAATTGTGACTCTAGAAGACAATCCCTTTTCACATAGGTATGCATATGTGACTGCGTACGGCTCTGTGGAGAGACAAATTTAATCAAGAGAGAAATTCTAAAGCTGTGCTATATTTAATGGGAGGGTTTATGTTTACAAGCATGCTGGAGAGATGGAGAAAGATGAGAAGAGATCACAGTCAGTGAGTCATGTAAAGTTATTAAAAGTAATTTATTAGGACATATTCAGGTAGCATAAAATGTCATAGACACATCTTTTAAGTATCCTAGCAATTGTCTGCACACAGGTGTGTGGAAAAATGATACACACACATAAAGATGTCTGTGCGAACTCATCAGATGTGTTTTTAAACTTAGTGCCAGAATACTCATTTGAGTTTGTCCTCTGGCATCCATCTGCAGTATAAATGAATGACCAATTAAGATTGTAAACTATTGATTTCACTTGTATACTGTGTTGGACGCCCTATTATAGAACTATTTAAAAAAAATATTTTAGAATGATAGAACAGGAAGGAGTATAAACCCAGATAAGTGTAGTGGTTTTCTAACATCAGACTTTTTCATACAGTAAAACAGATTTAAATTCTGAGAGGCTACAGAAAGAATGCTTAGATTCTGCAGACATTCATTTTGCATTACTCATTAACTCTGCCAGTTTAACACATGCTGCGGAAGAGAGAAAGGGTGGAAGAATGGCACAGTACTCAGTGCAGTTATCACAGATTAGCCTAAATTTGAAAGTCAAATTTATTTTATTAGGCTGCATGGAAGACAAGTCTGAGGTTAATGTCACTTGTTCTGTTTCCTCTCTGCGTTGTAAATTCTTAGATGTTGTAAAACATCTAAGGCCCAGTTTTGAGAAATCATGAGTAACTTACTGGGTATTTAGAATATCTGCATGTTAGGCCTTTGATATCAAATAAGAGATAAGCATGTGTTGGTACATTTTGTTTTTCTGCTTTTTCTTAATTATAAGCACAACAGAGAGAATAATCTCTGGGTGGAAGCTGGATTTAAGTGCTTCTGGTTCAGTGTAAGTCTCAAGACTTCTAGACCACTCCATGGAGGCTACAGGCATTAATAATGCAAGGCTACATGAACAGTTCTACTGCAGATGTCTTTGAACATTTAGGCCTTCATGTGTACAGCAAAGGAAACAAGAAGCTCATTAAAAATACATGACACTGTGTCAAAAATTGTCTATAATAAATATATTATATAGTATCGTATAATTATATATATTTATAATAATATAACTTATACAATAGTCTAACCATTCAAATATGAAAGTGAGTAAATCTAATTTCACTCCCCAACAGTGACAGGGAGAACGCCAAGACGTTTTTCCACACTCTGCAATCAGCACTGCCTTGCATTACCTGTGGTACAATATGTCTTTCCTGAAAGGGATGCAGAGGCCAAAGCGTGCTGACATAATAACAAAAACACTGGGGAAAAAATGTGTGGGAAGAAAAGGAAAAGAGAAAAAGCATGTTTTGTTTAAAAGCGTGAACTGTCCTCCCATTGCGGGAACTCCTCCTGACAAAACAACTCTTTATGATTTTGAAGCTTGCAGAACTCATTAAATGGAACTGAAATTAAGAAGGAAGGTGTCCTAAGTAGGAGAAAAAGTGGCGTGTACTAAAAATTGAGAAGGAGGAGGAAAGTAATTAGAAGAAATAAAAACTTCCAAAACAATATACTTGGGAGCTTCTCTGTGTGAATGCAGAGAATATGGGAAATAAGCAAGAGGAAATAAAAATGACAACCAGTGATAAACAGCCCGAGTTTCATGTTCTTGAATTAAATTTGGTGGGCTGATTATCACAAATAGGGATTCTAAGACTCAATGTTTTTACAGAATGACTGGAATATAATTTGACCGTGAAAAAATAAAAATTAAAGAGGTGATTGAAACCAATGGCAAAAGTCCTATTGACTTTAATGGGCCACAATATTATACAAGTTTGGTGTTTTTTTTTAAAGCAGTGAATATAATGGGTACTACCCTGGATGTAGTTTTCTCATAACATTTTTCTCAGTACCCTAGTGGTCATATGAAGAATTTTTCTTCCCACAGTGCCCATTTTTTTCTGTATTCTGTTGACATACGGACTCTCTTTTTCCAATAACTTTTTTTGCCATCTGTACAAACCCTTACATTCAGACATGTTTTTGGTACTCTTGCCAGAGAGAAAAAACAAATCCTGCACCTCTTCATGAGGCCAAGAGAGGCTGGAGGAACAATGTCACAAAATTGGGAGATTAGAGGGAATATCCTTGTTAATAATGAAGTTAAGCAGGAGGGTGTCGTGTTTTGTCTGTCTTATGCAATTATGGGTAAAAAAGATTGACACAAGAGATTGAAGACACAAGAATGCCACTGCTACCAAGAGGTGTACTGATGCTCAGAGCCACATCCTAAGAAACAGGGAATGCAATGAAGCACTGACAGCTTAAGACATGACAGTGCTATCATGAAAAAACTAGAGTATAAAGTTAGTATTTTCATCTGCTGTGCTCAGTACCCTTTGATCTCAAAATACAAAGAAGGGGAGACAAAGTAGGATATTTTTCCGTCAAGCAATATATTGTATTACATTATTCTAGTGTTCTCTTCAGCACATCCCAGAGCACTGGTGAGTGATTTATTTGATGGGCATGTAGACAAAATCATGAAACATCTGAAAATTCTATTAAAAGAATAGTTTGGTCATACTGATAAGAAGTTGGTGATTCCTTTTGACATGGCCCTAATATAAATAAAGGGTTATTTAAAGAAAAGACATTTTAGTGTAAAAAACAGACACATAACCAAAATTTTATAGTAGATGTCAACAATATTGAAGAGCATCATAAGAAAGATCTTTTGTTATCACAGAGGAATAAGAAGCTTGTAAAATACTGCAGGATGAACTGCAGATTTTCATTATTCTTTTTTACTATTAGCCAGACGAATGATCCTGGAAAACAATGATAACTTCCTTATCTTATGTAAAGAAAGGATACCTAAAAGCTCTGTGAAGCAGTGACATGCTTTTGGACAGTGATTAAGATAATGACAAATATAGGTTATTTTGATTGACCTGGTACTTGACTCATTATTTGTAAATTCATGTATCTGATGGATTTGTATCTAGAGGTACAATACTGGTACACCATGTCAAAGAAAGTATGTGGATAAATGAAAGGGAGCAGAAGTTAAGACTTCTGAAGTGCTGAAGTTCACTATGAGGAAGATAAGCAAAAAGGTAACTGCATTTAATTATCTGAAGGGACAGGAAGAAAAAAAGAAAATTTGCTTCATGAGCCTTCTGAAAAACTACTGACACTGACATTCCTAGGGATGTCTTTTCTAGGATTCATTGAGAGCAGTGTTTAGTTGTACACATATGATATTCTGTTGCAAATATTTAAATACTCAAGAGCAATCTATGTAGTTTCTCAATAAGAGAATATTTATGCAGTGGCCTGGCATATATTTGTATTCTGTGTCCTTCACCTTATGCTCCTTGCTCCTTTCAAAATCTTCTTTCCAGATCCAAAGTTAAACAAAAAATTCATATTAAATCTGTAACATCATAGCAAAAAGCTTTTAGCCTTATACACATGATATGGCTGAGGTCATCTAACTTGTTAAAATAAACATAAATAGGAATTTCAAGAGACTATCTTTTGAATATTGTGTTTGCTGAGCATTTTATGATAGTTTACACTGCTGATTCAAATGAATCACACAAAAAAAAGCCATTACTTGTATTATGTACAATATTTTTACTTTAAGAAAGAGGAAGATATTATCTGACATGCTCTTTGGGTAAGATATGAAATTTAAAAGAAAAAAATGGTAGAAAATTTTCTGAATAGAGAACTGAAAATAGCAATGAAACTGATTTTGATGAATGAATGTCATACAGCATTAGTCTTAAGTCAAGTTTCCAACCAGCACAAATCATCCTCAGACCTTTAACTTTATTGGAACTGTATCTGTCTGTATGAGGAACAGACACATATTGATGCTTCAGGTCTGCTTCACCTCACAGATGTGTTTACCACTGATACATTGGATAATAGTTTGTATTCTTAACATTCCAGATAAAGGGCTATATGATATTCTAAGGTATAGCAGTACAAAATGAAAAACACTTGAGGCCAATAATGTTACTGTAGGCAAACTATGTAGTTAAGGAAATCACCATAACCTTACTTTAATCCTTCACCTGAAAACTACCTCTTCTGCTCCAAAGCTCTTTTCTCTGATTGTTAAATATTTTTGTGATGTAAAAGATGCCAACCATGGTAAGTCAGCCATTGGGAGTATAACTAGATCAGTATTAACAATTACTAAGTCAGTGAAGGATATTTGGGAACTGTAATATATCTATATAGCTCTGAAGAAGAATCAGAATGTCTATTCATATTCCTATTCCACTGTCTTCTGTTTCTAGGAGGATATTATCAATGCTCACCTTTTCACCAACACCTCCAACAGAGCCGATTGAGCCTGGGGGGCCTTGAGGACCCTACAATGACGAAAGATGTTAGTTATCTCAAATATAGTGCTTGCTACTGAATTAGGGAGAGAAAAAAAATAGGTTAATTCTTACATCAGCTCCATTAGGACCCTGGGGACCTCTTGGACCTGGAGGGCCAGGTGGACCCTATATCAGAGAGACAATTTGATATAGTTACAATCACAAAGAACAAGTCCAGTGAGGCTTTTTTGGCCAATGAAAAATAATATACTCAATCTGTAGAGGACTTTTAATCTTCGCAGTGCTACAGAAACAGCAGGGCCAGATTGCTGCCCATTGCATGAGTTCACAAGGTGACACGGGATGCAGGCTATGTTACACAGTACCTGAGCTGGAAATGATCTGATGCTGAGGACTCCTGGGGACTCGTTTCCTGCATTGTATTTTCCCTGCAGGTTACCTGCATACCCCTTCCCCTGTGCAAGGGCCCTGGAGTGGCTCATCTGTCTGGCAAGAGCCATGTGACAGTAGTGCACCATGGGGCCTACAGATGGGCAATAATAAAGCCTGCAGGCTTGGCATAGGGTGTTGGAGGCAAATGTTTACTGTAGATAGCTTGCACTTCAGGCAGGATGAGCCCAGAGGCATAAACAGTTGGAAAATGTAGTCTCAAGATTACCCAGAGAAACAGAGTAAACATTGCCAAGTAGTGTTTACCATCTTCTGGCCTGCAATTAGCTGAAGTTAAAGTACAATGCCCTGAATTTCAGACAAGCAGCTCCAAACTCTCTGGTGCAGTAGCCTCTTCTTTTTCTCCTTCTTCACTGAACCTGCTTGCCAGTGACCTGTCTCAGACACGCACAGCATCTGCTTTGCTACCTGCTCTTCAGAGTATTTTCTTAAGTTACATAAATCTTGATTTTAAAGATGAGGAGATAGATGCGAGAAAGGAAAGTAAAGTCCAGAGAGAGTTTATGTTACACAAAATGTTTCATACTCAGGCACCAAACTCAGAAGTAGTTTATCAAATTGTGAGCTACAGAGGAAAGACAATAATACACGGATAATATTTATGGCCCCCCAAGGGACCAGTGGAGAAAAAGTCTTACCATTGGACCCACATCACCATTTTCACCCTTTTCACCTGGTGGGCCAGGCAGACCCTAAAACGCATGGAAGAGTAAGCAAAACTATTAGTAGGGTACCTTGAATGTTGAGCTATAAATCAATATGAAACAAAATGAATCAGATCTACATGTGAAACCTGGAAACTAGGAGGGCGTGAAAATAAAACCTGTTTGCATTAAAACAAACAAAAAAAAGGAGGGTTTTTTGTATTACAGCAAATGTATAGGTAATCCTAGGATGTTTAAACCAGGTGAAGTAGAAAATTTTTGAAAAAAAACAAACACAGAAATGTTAGTGTGGTTGACTTTAAAAACACTGCCATCATTATCCAGACTCCAGGTGGGCATTTGGATAATTTCATTTATGCTGTAATACATATGTATGTGAATAAAATGTGATTGGTGCAGCAGAATGAAGTGGTGTACAAAAATCTCTAAGCTACCTGAGTACTGGAAGCTGTATAATAAGGTGTCCAGCGGAGGTAATAAATTGTGCTGAGAGGCATTGCATTGAGTTAGGCAGACATATCCTTAGAAGCAAAGTGTCTGAGATTGACTAGTACCAAACACCCAGAGAAGGAAACTGTAGCTGGTGCTAAGACTGATAATTAGTATAATGTTACCCTATCACCATTAAGCTGGGCATTCCTAAATGTAGGATCAAAGCTTGGCTTCTATGAAAAGCAGATCCCCTGGGTCTGGAGTTGATAGCATTACATTTACATTACATTAAGATCTGGTTCCAAGTTTCACCTCCAGGATTCTGATGCTATCGAACTGTGTATCAAAGTATAGCTCACCAGATTGGAAAGCACAATTTGCCATCTTTGCCACAAAGCTGTATAAAAAAGTATGAAGTATAAACTTAGCCAACACTATGTTCATTCCTCAGCTGCCCTCCTACTTTGACACAATCTAAACAGTAGAAAGACCTGTCAAAATTCAGAGATATACCTTTTCTAAAAATTAGGTCTCTGTTGTGTACTACTGCGAAAACCTGGCTGACCTGTCAGTGCATTGTGGTTGTTATGAAAGCCTGTTTGCTACCAGATAATCAGCATGAAAAAAGCCAGCTTGCTTTCAAGTGGTGACACAGTGTTTTTTCTATATAATCCTTGCTTATTTTAAAAAATACTAGACTGTATTCTGTTAAAATGGAAGCCCACAGCTGATAATACTATCTTCAGTAACATGTACTGATTACAGTACATGCCGAGTAGTAATGCCAGGGTTATAACAACAAGTAGTTTTATTACTTTCTAACTTTCCTCATGTTTACTTTTTGTAACCTTATAATAGTTTCAGAAATTAAATTTGAATTGACTTTAACTTTTTCCTTCATTGTGAGGAGTTTTAAATAACGATTTTGTAGCTAATTGTTCTAAAGAGTGATTAGAGCAGAAGCCTAGACTTGGACTAGATGATTAGTCTTTAGAGAGATGCCTCAAATAAACTAGATCTTCCCATTGCCAACAGTTCACTAAGTTTTGCCCCGTGAGCAAAAGAAGACATTTAGCTTTCGAAGTTGAATGCCTTATGTATTATAATTCATGGTCATGATAAACCTAACCAGCCCATTCAACCACTTGCAGAGGAGGTAGTTATGAAACTTCAAAGGCAATTAAACATTTACTTGATATTTCTGTCTTTGAAAAGACTTCCCAAAGCTGTTCAGTGAACTCCTATTTCAACACTGAAAAACACTAGCTGATTTCACTGAATCAGTATTTCATGCATGGTATTTTGGGATTCCTTTCAGTTCCTTTGGCAAGAGGTAATTCACGTGTTTGTCATTTAATATTTCAAAATTTAAGTAAAATTGCCATAAATTGACTATAACATAACCTAGATAGGCCCATAGAGTTTTTCAGATGTTCTTTACTTTTAACTACTTTTGTTAAGAAACTTTCTAATTTTTTAAAATACTATTAAAATTAAATAGCAAGGAAATTCACAATTGAAGTTTTAAAGATTTAAAGTTACAAGTCTTCACTTTAATGAACAAAAATACTTTTTGCTTAATGTCCAGTGTAAGTGATATCAGTAGAATTTAACTGGAGTAAGTGTGATATAGTTACCATGGAATATTGTATATAAGACAGAGAAAGTTGTTACTCCCCAAAAGTTCATAATTACCATAAGAATTGCACTAATGAATAAAAGAAACTCCTGATTTCTCAATGGTATTTCAATACCACTAGCATATATGGGAATCTCGGTCCATGGACCAACATACTGAAATTAAAATCTTAATCAGAGAAATAAAAATCCTCATATTTATGTTTATGTAGCTTAGGGCTCATTAAATTTGAAATGTGAAGGTGAACTTTACTGAAAAACATCATTTGAAACAGTATCCTAGATCTGAGAAAAATAAGAAGAATAATTTTATTTCACTCTCTTTAAAATAGTAAAAACTTAACAATTCACAATAACACTTAGGAATCATTTTTTCTGATTTATCGTTTCTGAAAAACTTATTGTGAAAATAGAGTAAATGACTAGGACATGTTAAGTACTCCTCCAGGTTGAATCTTTTATTTAAAATGTGTATCTCCAATACAAAGAAGCACTCTTGTTAGAACAGAAATTGTTGGACTCCATAAATGAATGAGTTACTGAACGAAATTCTAAAGCCTATGGTAGCCAGGAGTTCAGTTTCAGAGCATCTTATCAATCTCCTTCAGCATTAAATCAACTATTTATGCCTGAAGTCTATGAATATGGGATCTTTCAGTTCCTATTAACCAATGCTGTCATTTATTTAATAGAAGACAATACTCATTCAGTTTCACACAGAAATCAGAGTTCTTGCAGGTGGAGGGTAAAATAATAAAGGAATTTACCTGTAAGCCAATAGGGCCTGGAGGGCCAGGGAAGCCTCGAGGACCTTCATCACCTTTTTGCCCAAACATCCCTTGCTGACCCCTTGGGCCTGGCTCCCCATCACCTCCCTATTTGGAAACGGCGAAGAGAAAAAATATCAGAGGTCTGACAATAACAGAAAAAGCTCCACTGAGATCACTGGAAAACAACTACAAGAGGGCTCAGAATCACTCCTAATATCTTTACAAATATATGTACACCAACTTGATTGAATGAAATCTGTTATACAAGTAGAATACCAGCATATGCCTTGTTTAATGTAGGTCAAATAATACTGCGTATCTCACAAAAAATTTTCCCTGAATTCCTCTTCTCTTTCCCAACAGCATCAACATTCTAGCTGTTGAATACCTGCATATGAGTAGCATATAGTTCTAACAGCCTTCATGGTAGAAGAATTCAAAGCCTTCTAAATAAAAATAAAAATAGAAATCAATCCACCTGGTATGAGGTGAATTTTAAAAAGAGATACTCTCTTTTAAATGCATCTGGTACCAAGCTGATTTTACCACTGACTGTCATACAAAACACCAAACAAGTTCACTGGAAGGATGGGCCGCATTCGCTATTTACACTATTTAGTTTTTAATAATTCCTTAAATCTGAAATCAAATAACGCCTATTTAAGCTTGTTTACAACAAAAAACAAGACAATGTTAGAACTGTTAATAGTAAGTTGAAATATATTCCTGAGTAAGGAGCATGCAGTTGTTATGGTTTGGCTGCGGCCGGCAACAAAAGCGCCACGCGGTCGCCCCTCCCCCCGCCGGGGTGCGGAGGAGAATGGAAAGAAACAGGCAGAAACCGGTGGTTCGGGATAAGGGCAGTTTAACAGAACAGCAAACAGAGGGAACAGGAACAACAACGATACAGATAAGGAGAAAACACAACACAAACCGCACAACCCAGAGAGCCGCTCTCCCGGACCGGACCGGCGCCATGCGCTCCCGATAACCCTGTCCTGGCCGAACCCAGGACGCAGTTCAAAGAACTTCTAAGTATCAGAGGAGTTATGGCAAGATTGGGGTTTGCTCCGAATAAGCTACGTACAGCTATACCAGGGGCACCAACAGGACCCTGGAGACCCGGTGGACCTGGAGGACCCTGCAACAAACAAACATCCAAAAGGAAAAGTTAGTGATTATGGCATCTGGAATGAGATTAAAAGCAAATATAGAGACAACCCTATTTGCACGATCAAGGTCTATCAAGCATTTCTCCATTTCTCCACAGAGAATGCAGCATTATTCACAAGTCTTTTTCATTCAGTACAAACAATTATTATTTGTTTTTTTCTGAAAGAGTCAGATTTGTATATCTGTAATAGACTTAATACTGGCATTTATTGAAAGGACATTTGTAATGTTTCAGAGTATTTAAAATAGATTCCTGTGCAAAAATACATTTAAAAAAATATTTTTTCGCAATTAAAAATATCAGACCTTTCAAGGAGATTTGTGCAGAAAAAGTAAACCTTTAAAGCATCATCTAACAATCTATCTTTAAATGGAACACTTACTATTTGGATTAGTTTTTATGAAATTGCAAATAGTTTTAGTAACAGCAGAAAGCTTATTTTGACCTCCAGGAGACATGAAAAAGCCTAAGTTCTTACTGAGCCCTGGGAGCCACGTACTCTTTGATATTAGGTCTCTTTTCAATTGAATGGCAAAAAATATGTCTCTGAGAGGAACTTAATTTTTTCAATCTTCTTACAGAATTATAACTTTCTAAGTTATATTGTGCATAATTTAGAAGTCAGTTATGCAGACGTGATGTAATGAAGATATGTAACACTGAGAGTATGGGAATGCAAGATACTAGTTTATGATGAAGTTAAAATCATGTGCTAGGTTGAATCTGTTTTTTTGCGCCAGCTAGAGAGATTAGGATGATAAAGAGTGAAGCTAAGAATGCATAGAACCTTACACCTGGCAACAGCTAAATTCTAGTCTGCTATTTCACATGACAATGTAGTCTGCAGTTTCTAGGCTGGAAATTCTAATTTAATGTTTGGACTTACAGACCTTGCTAGGGTAAAAATTAGATTATTCTGCTCTTTATAGGGAGATAAGAAAAGAGATTACTTCGGTGTTGTAGTGTATTTCTTTCTTTGGGTTGTATGTGTATTTTAGAGTATCTTATTTTCTAAGGAGTTTGAAGTGTCAAGCTATGTATTTCTTCTATTTTATAGTTTTCTTTGCATCACATACCTGATGGCAATAGGTGAAGCAAAGCTTTTTAGCCTCTGTGGTGACACACCTAAATGAAAGGACTCCTAGGAATGCTCCTGTTGACTGGGAGGGTTACCATGAGAAAGGGAATTAGCATGCATAAATTTGTAAAAAAATCATATTGGAATGGATTGCTTCTACACTATGCAGGATGCTTCTACCTGCTCCTTCATTTTATAGGGCCAGAGCAAGATCCACACATTTTTAATCTCATTAAAATACTCATTTTGATATAAAGTATTGTTGGAAGGTACTTTGCAATTGATTAATGAGAAGTTATTTGGACACATGGCCAGACTCTTTTTTTTCCATTGCTCTGGAAGGCAAATGGAGGGAGACTGAGCAGAATCATCGGAGGTTTTGAAGCTTAAGACAGGATGTATATCAGCAATAAAATTGTGCTGTCCCCAGCTAGGATCTGGCAACATAGTATTTTTAGTTAGGCACAGCATAGTTAAACTCCTGAACATAATTCCTTGTTAGTTTCAACTGCGAATTGAAGATGTTTGCAGCTCTTCTTAAACAGGAAAGCAGGATTAATTCTTCTTTGCTCAGGGTTTGTGCTGTGATTAGGCTCTAAATGCCCACCGAGGCTTTTGTGGGTGCCTAGGTATTGCGAGTATCTATTCTTAGTGTCCTGTGATTCCAGAACTAGATACTTACTCTTCAGAATCTTTCAGAGGTGACCAACAAGGCCTTTCCGCCCTGCCCCAATATACTTCTGTCAGCATGTTGACAGGAAAGCAGATTTGAAATAAACATATTCTGAAATGTCAGGGTTCAATGACTGCAACTGTTTGCAAACAGGATTCAATACCATGACTTCAAACAGGGTAACATTCACTTCAACTAAGCACATCTGAACACTGAATTCTGTATTCCAAGAAAAACACATTACGTTCCCAAATGCCTTAAATCTTGAGACTGAGATTACAGGATACATTCTCAAATTATTATGCTGCAGGCACTTTATTTGTAAAGCAGGTCTGCTGGAACATGCCCAAATACATTAGTACTCACTATGGGAACTGTGGTCACAGTCTAATGTTCAGCATAACGAGCTATGCTGAAACAGAAAAGTGCAGTGTGTGTTTTTTCTGAATTTCTCTGATGCAGAAGCATCTCAAATGAAGAGGCATGTCAAAGGGGAAAACAAAAGGATATGCATGTGATTGCATGCAAAGTCTGAAGTGGAACTGGACCATGACCTGCTCTATATGCTTCCTCTGCTCTTTCCTTTCAACACCAAATTTTTCTGTGTACACAGGGCCTGTACTGTAATGAACCTCTTCAGGTGGACAAAGACTAGCTGCATATATCTCTTTGTATCCCACAGCTGGTTTACAACTACAACAGCAAATAGATTAAGATTGATTTTCAGTTAACTTGGAGCAAGTCCATAGTCTTAAAACCTACTTTTAAAAATGTTTTGATTTGTTAAATTGATTTTACAGAGTTAACCAAAGCATTCAGCACAGATTATTCAAGAGAATTTTAGTGTGAAGCAGAATTTGTTTACAACTTGGTTATATGTATGTCTCTTGGAAAACTGGGCTTTGTAATAGAAGTGCTCTCTCATCCATACATACAATACTACATTCCTTGTGTTAATAGGGCATTACAAATATTTTACTATAGCACTTGTGATTTGATCTATTAAAATAGGATTATGAAAAGTATGCATTTTCTACACTGGAAACTGCAGAAATCTTTCTTATAGAAATAATTTGAAAGGACAAGCTTATCCTAAAAACAAAAAAACCCTTATCATTTTTTTTTTGCACATTTTGTCTCCACACGTTTTTCTATGTAATTATTATAAAACTGTGATTTGGTTTTGTGTATATCCTTCTATAAAACATGATCTGAATACATGTAAGCCATAAATTTGGTCCAATTTTTAGAAGCAATCTACTTTTATGATAATTTGTAAGCTGTTAATCACAGTAAGCACAGAGCATTTTCAAGACAGTAAATATGCTTAGTTATGAATACCCCTATGCTGAGTTCTGAACTTTGCTAACTGTGAATATTGATGAAATATAAGAATAAAACAAATCTTTCTGCAATTACTTCTCCATTTTTTTCTTAAGGAAAATTATTCAAATAAAATGCCAGTGTAACTTGAAATTGAACAGAAGTGAAAACAAATCTTTTCTGAATTTTTGGGAAAGAAACCAAAATCAAACAAAAGAAATATGCTAGTTTTATTCTTTCTAGCTTCAAATTTTACTGTGGAAAAAGCTTATTTTTATATTTGTGGCCTCAATCAAAAGAGGAAGTGCTTGAACTTCAGAAATAATTTTGAAGACAAAACATTTCAAATTAAATCACTAGAAGCCTGATTAGTCCCAAGTTCACTAACAGGCCTAGTGATAATAGTTGAAAACTTGTAGAAGCCATTTCATCTAAGGTCTTCGCTGTTCTGAAATGTTGCAACCAGTTAAGTGTGCTCTCCAAGCTTAGATATTCTTTAAAAATTTTAAAACTATATTAGCAGATTTCTCTACTGAGTCTTCATATTCTTCATCATTATGGCTAAGAAGCTAAAGCTGGGTATGTTCACATAATCCAGTCACTGAAGTTAACTTAAACCCAGTAAGATAATGTATACATATTCTTGGTCTCTCTCAGTTCAAATGTAGAACGGATGAATTAAAATTATATAGGAAGGGTACTTAGGAATGTAGTTCACTTATTGATTTTAAAATAATTCTGTAAGCTCAAGAAATATGAGAAATACTAAATATATGCATGGCTTTTTAAGTACAAACCTTTAGTGTTGCGTTAAAACTCAACATTGTTTTGAAGAAACATTTCTGAAGTGTGTCTGTGTTTCTGTTCATTGATGTAGCAAGGCTACTTGCATACTTCATGCATAAATACTTTTTATTTATGAATAACGTAATGGACAAAGGATTTTGCTACTCACGTTTTCTCCCTTGTCACCTTTACTACCTTTCTGACCCGGTTCACCAATTTCACCCTGTAATAGAAAGTTAGAAGTTAAAGTTCTTCTTTAAAATGATCTTCTTCACACTTAGCTGAAGTCAATATGACAGTATCTTTAAATTTTCCCTTTGATACAATTATTCGGTGTTTTATGCTGCTGCTTCTAAAGGGGGCAGTTCTGCATCGATCAGTAGTGTGTCATATTAATCCAGATATTGATTGTTGTACTGCAAAGGTCAACAAGACCTGGCTTTGAAGTATAGTACAACTGAGCTCTAAATAAAGGAAATTGTGTTCCTCATGTCACCTTCAATACGAACTTATGATGAAAGCACCCTGATTTACAGACTCATCTAACTGTATGTGGCTGAACAACTGCTTCCCACTGTAGCGTACAATATTTCAAAACTTCAAAATTATTCAAATCACCAGGAAACCGTGTCAGAAAAAAAAATTTTTCTTTATACAATAATAAAAGACAATTAAACTAAATCACAGAAAATACTCTCTGCGTGATAAATAATACTCATGCATCATAAAAACGAATGTCAAAGTCTTCAAAGGTGCTGTGTCCTAACTTCTGCCAGAAGTCAAGAGAATAACTCTGCTGCGAACATATGTTTTGACACCCTCAATCAATCAACAATGGTTCCAAATCACTATACATTACTAGGAACATTTTATCTTACTCATTCAGCAAACCAAGTTTCTAAAATAGGCAAAAATCAAATTTGATATCTTCTGCCTTGATTTATTTTGCCACACTTTCATCCTTGTTTCTTTGCCAGGATATATGTCTTTCCCTCAGACATCTGATTATAGAAGGTTCATTAGTTTTTTTGCTGTGGGTGGAGGGAGTTTGGGGGAGGCAGGGCTAAGAGTTCCTGCATCACCATATTTATTGTGAGGAAAGCTACAACCAGAGAACGGTACTGACAGATCTTCCCACAGATGCACTAATACGAATTATAATGATTCACCTTGTCACCGTCTTCTCCGGGAGAACCACTAGGACCAGCAGGACCAGGCAGTCCTACAGGACCCTGTACTCCATCACGTCCAGCTGGACCTTGAGGACCTTTTTCACCCTGGTTTTGAAGAAAAAGAAGTGATCCACATTATCACAGGAGTCAAATGAAGATTTCAGTACAGGGAGTCACATTACTAATAAAAAATTTGAAAAAAAAACCACAATAGAAAAGAAACTATAAAGGGAAGGGAATGTGTCAGAAAATTATGCTAAGTAATACTGGAGGCCGACGACAAATATACTTGTACTCTAATGCACAGTGGCTGGGTACAAAGCTTTAATGAAAGACTGATTTGACAAAGTTTTTTATTATATTCACTCCTTGCTGTTGATAATAATGGGTTTAACCCTTCTTCAGTGTTAGATTGTATGACAATAAATGTTTTACTGTTTAGTTAACTGTAAATATAAAAGGAGTAGGTCAGGTATTCTGACGATATGTTTAATAGGCAAATACTAGAGTGGGGAAACATAACATTCTGGAGTGAAAAGCCTGTGCTGTGATAGCCTTACGTGACTCTGTGATTACTTACGGGAGCACCCTTCTCCCCTGCGGGGCCTGGAGGACCCTGCGGTCCAGGACGACCTGGTAGACCAATTGGGCCAGCAGTGCCTGCTGTTCCACGTTCCCCTGGTGAACCCTGGAAAGAAATAAAAAATAGAAGAGAATTCTGATATAACTCTGATAACTGTTAGTGGTTTTTATGATCCAGGTCAACAGAGAATATATGTATTATTCAGTGAGATTCCAGCTGGTAGAAGGGTACATATTCAGCATGTGTACAAGTAAAGAAAAAGGCTCAAAGAACTAAGCTGAAGTTTGCACTTAATAGTTAATTTAAACTTTTATTTTTCATAAATACCCATTCTTGTATTTGTTCATCATAATAGAAGTGTGCTTTAGCCTGTTTTCAAGAACTTATTTCCCCTCTGTGTTTCCAAAATACATTAACATACCACTTTGGTGAAACAATATTCCCCATACTAAAATACAGAACTAACCTACAACACAACACAAATTTTTTGTCAAGTTTTGTGCTGTACATTGCTGTGTTGATCAGTATGCTTCTGCATTTCAATTCACCTGTGTAAAAATCTATTGAAGTATAATGACTAATCTGATGTGTCATAGAGAGGATGCTTGGATGTACAGGTATCTTTAGACAAGCACAGAAAAAGTTAAAAATCTAATATTGCAAATTAAAGGGGAAAAGACAGGTGCTGTATGTGGAAAAAACACAGGAATTCTGTATTCTAGCATATATTTTTACAGAGAATAATAGCAGAGAGGGATAATTTGCACTCTAATATCAATAAGCCTCACTTTTAAATGAGTCATATCATTGTCATTACTGTATTCATTTAATTGTCTAAATAAGTTTGGCTTTTTTTTTTATCTGAACCTACCAAAACATCCCTAAGTGAAAATTTAGTTGCTACCTTCCCTGTCAGTTCTTTCTTTTGAAGCAGTTTAGGGCTTATGGCTGTTCCACAAAAGCCAACCTTTCTTTCAAATGTGTCGATCTGCATAGAGACGTGGCAGACAACCTTTTGTAACTGGAGATGCACCTTTATGGTTTTCACTGGATTGAGCTAACTAGACAAAATGGAGAGAATTACTAGGTATGCAAAAATCTGCAATGCTCTAAAAACGAAGAGGTACCTAGGGTGGGCTAATTTTTTCCTGTCTTATTTATTGCACTTTCTGAGAACACAGATGGCATGTACTTTTAAGTAGTGCTGAAGGGGAAAAAGGAAAGGAAACAAGGTGTTCTGGTACTAAAAAATCTTCCTGAAAGGATACAAGGGAACAGATAATAGTATAGATTAGAAGTCTATTCAAATAAATCGAATTTCAGAATCAAAATGTTAATTTTTGGTCTATCCATATTTGTTTATCATTTAGTCAAAAGCCACAATATGGAGTACTGATGTTAAGTCCTTTTTGCAAGCTGGGTTTATTTCCTAATTGTGATCTATAACCAAAGTTCTCTGCAACTCATAAGCAAAGAAATGGACACCTGTTTGGAGGCACAATACAACAAGAAATGGCAGAAAGCAGAAGACATTTACACTCGAATTCCGAGTATCTCCTTGATCACGCAGACAGATTCTGACCAAGTATTTTTCTGTATTTGTGACATGGATTCATGATAGCCCAGGGGAAAAATTTCCTGTGTCTTCATTCAGGGGTTAACTGCCATCTAACCTGCTTCTTCCTGTCTCTCAATGAGAGTCAGCATGTGCAGGGAGACATAAGCATGATGCTCTCCTGTGTACAGGCAGAGCGTGGAGAATGGTGGAGCTTCTTTGTGCTTTCTTGCACCATCACTGGCTGAGAACTCTGACAGGAAATCCAGCTGTGCCAGTCCTGATACTTTCTGAGGATTTGAGATGCTGTACATCCTTCCTGTGTCCTGTAGACAGGGCAGCATGGGAACAAAGACAACGGAGTATTCTGTTCCACTGTACTCTACATATGAGCTAGTCGTGCTTACAAGTCTGATGGGAAAAAGTATTTCACTAAGAGAAACACAGTTAACCTTGAAATTCGTAGACTCGCTGGAAGCTGAGAAGCAGAGAGCTGTCCTCTCCCTCTAACTTTCTGTATTTTCACACTTCTATAGCATCTTTGTTTTCTGTCTTTTAAAATAATTTACAATTTTTGCATCAATAGATGCAAATCACTGTTAAAGGTTTGTTTGCTGTATAGTAATATTTCCCCATCTTTTCAGCTTGACACCAACAAGATAGTTTGTAACACTTTAAAGTTATTGATAATTTCACTTTTCCAGACGGTATATTGGAAGTGGGGTGATACATCATAAGAATAGATAAGTAATAGGTGGTGTAGTCTGAGGCTCTATATAGCCAGATTTTTTTCCATGTTTAAGCGAAGATCAAATTTGATGGCTCTTGGAACACTGGAATTTTAAGATGCTTTCACCTATGAAGGCCAAATGTTTTGCTTTTATTCATGCCATACACTTCCTGGACTGACCCCGTTAGCATAACTGATACTAATTCCATAATAAGGTACTTTTCCCTCCAGATAACTGTGGCAGAAGAGAATGATGAATGTTTGCTCCAAATGTTTTTGCAGATTATCTCAGTAAGATCTAATTTTGCATGACTGTGAAAAAAAAAATTGTGCAGGAATCATAGATGACTTTATCCTTCCAAATGTTATTTTTTCTCAAGTCTGCGTGGATGCCTGAGTTGCAGTCCTATTATTTCTGTTATTTTACTTCCTAAGACTTTAGTGAATTCAACAAGAAAAACTCACTACCCTGCAGCCATACTACCATGGTCTCTGATCTTGTCAGCTCTCATAAGTTAAACAATTTTAGGTCATTTCATCAGTAGGATGCAAGAATAGAGAGGAAAAAAAAAATCCAGATAACTCATAGATCTTTCCTATATCAGACAGCAGACACTGACAGTGGCCGTAATTTCTGGTAGCTCTTTTTACTCGGCCAACTTTTCACATTTATCTTTGCATCATTTTTATTTGTTATACTTAAATTTCACATGAGTTATGAATAGGAAGTAACACTTCCTGTTTTCAAGGATCCTCTCATTTCTCTCCAAGAATGGCCTCTGATCAAAGCAGAACACATTATAGTCACAACTCAGAAAAGCATTTTAGGCAGCTTCTTAAATCTGTTCTCTCTTTCTCTCTTTCTATGCTTATTATCTTTGTTTGCCACTCTGTCCCAGTATGAAACAATGCCCTTATATTACTAAACTCATTGTTAACCTGTGGTCTCGCAGTGGTACTCACATCCTGGAATATTTTTATTAATCTGTGGGGTTTTAAAAAACTTTTCTACAGAATCAAGTAGATGCTTTGTCGTGCATTTCTCTTATAGAGGCTATAAACCCATTAGTAACCTTGTTTATCTCTCTGTGAAGAGATATGTAATTATAGCTATTGTGTACATTACATAGTAGTAGCAACACTTTTTACTCATGGTTAACAAAATGCTCAACAAGTGAAGATCCCTATGGCTGAAAAATGTTATCAAACAGAGGAAGATAGCTCTAGATAGGTCAGTACTGATAATTGGGTAGCCTACAGCTGGCTTATTCTGAGTCCAATTTGGGCATCCTATTCCTAAATGAGCTAATGAATAATGACTGATTGACATTCCGAAGCACTTTCTCTCATCAGCATTCAGCATTCCACACAGTAGTATGAGAAGGGAAGAAAACAAACTGAAGACAAAAATAGCAGATAAAAGACAGCTGTTAAAGTAAAGCAACAAAAAAAACAAACAAACAAAAAAAAAACCCACAACAAAAAAAACCAGGAAAAAAACCTTGCTCTGGAATGCATTCATGCATCTCTTTTTGTCCAAATCCCTCTAAGCACAGTAATTGGCATGCACAGTATTTGGAGCAGTCATTTGTTTGGTACGCTTGCAGATGTATACACAAGCCCAATAAAGCTTATAATTGACTATATATGCTAGTTAGAAGCAATTAGTATTGGCAGGGAATTGGAGGAAAATCATCCAGTGGCATGAATTCTCTTCCTATCATAAATGGCAAATGAAGACTCCATTATAATTACACTTCTGTGTGTACACTCCGTTGGCTAAAAATAGAAGGAAAAATATTTTAGGACTATTTGATGCTCATGGTCTACTAAAAGCTACTGTGAAAAAAAGCAAGCTGTTGTGGTTGAATTGTGGTCCTTGCAGATGCACAGAAACGCAGTACTAAAGGCACTTATGCATCTTTTTTCACTGAAAAACACTTTCAAGATAACAAGCTAGTAATTAAAGATTAAATAGAAAAAAAAATCCCACTGAGGCCTTCTGTAATACTCTCAGGTCAGCTTGGCGCTGTTTGTGCCTCCAGTGACCTGCTTGCGCTACAGTGATCTCAAAGTATATTTAAAAAAAAAAAAGTGTTTACCATTCAAACTCTCTTTCTACTCTGCCCATAATTCCTACTGCCACTACATCTGTTTCCCAAAGATTGGAAAAACAATATGCAAAAAATTCTAAGCTTCCTAGGTGAGTCTTTCTATGAATATGTTTACCTTAGCAGAAAGCGTGGTTCCAACAGGAATGAATTTATAAAGTGAAGAAGCAGTTGCTACTTTCTCCTGACACCTGTACTCTGTGAATTTCTGGGCTATACTTCACGATAATTCTAGTCTGGCATTGAATTCCCATTAGCTGGTGTGTATTAGAAGCACTCCTGGAATTCCTCTTCTAATTTAGTTTCACATGAAAGGAATACTGTTCATGAGCTCCAAGCGAGCTCTGTGACTTGAACCAAAGGATGGTAAATGGGGATGATTGAGACATTCACCTCAAAAAGGCTCTGATATTTCGAAGTAAAACACTAATGTATACACACCCTATAAGAATTTGAAAAACATAGAACTTCTGAATTTAAATTCAAACACGTGTATTTCAGAATATGGACAACTGTCACTAAGTAAGATATGTGCTTTTACCTCACAACCTTACATGATGCATATTTATGAGAAACTATAATAGTAGTGGCACAGATACTGTGTGGGCATCCTGTCTGGGAAAGTGGAGTGCATTAAATATTAGGTATGCTTGTGCTGTCTGGTTTGTGCATGCTCAGAAGAGTTCTGGTTCATTGCACCTGAACTAACTGTCTGCTTGAGAGGTTAGTCCAGCCTTAGGGCTTCCTTTAACAAAAAATGAAGACATGACCTTTAGATTGCAGAAATTACTCTGGTCTATACTTTCTTGATTTTGATTCATCTTTTCTTCTAACAGTTCAGGTTCTTCAGGTGGGGTGGGATGATATCCCTTTTGACTCTCCCTACTAGCTTCCATTCCATTCCATTCCATTCCATTCCATTCCATTCCATTCCATTCCATTCCATTCCATTCCATTCCATTCCATTCCATTCCATTCCATTCCCAGATGCCTTATTTTGGTGCCTTTTGTGAATAAACACATACTGCATGGTGTTAAGAAGAACTGTAAATCACAAATCTAGTTCTTGATTTAAAGAATAGAACCTTAAAAGGCATTAAGAATCCAACAATTAATTTTAATAATTCTTGTACCAAGTATTAAGAAATCAAGAAGTAAAGCTTAAAAGTGTGCTACAGCAGATCTTTTCCAATAATGCAGAAATAATCCAAAAGCGAGAATCTTTATACTATGTTGTTTTTTTTTCCTGCCTGTTTAATGCATTCTAATCTCAACATAAATTGCAGGGGCATAAAATCGCTTTATTGTTGAAATACACAGAATTTCAGCTCCTCCATTACTTTTTTTGTCCAACAGGAATAGCTTTGCTGTGGTTTTTTTATTTCAGTTGGACTGAATGAAAGAAGTTGACAAGATGACTGTCAAAATCTACACAATCCACATTTGGGAATAACTGTACCATGTTTTGAATACCAGTGCTTCCTTGTAGAACTTCCTAGCATACTAAATGACAACAGAGAATAGGTAGCTTCAAACATCTCCTACTTCAAATGCCTTTCAGTGGATAACTACCAGAAACTCAAGTGAAAGAGGCAGCAGAGTTATAAATAGTAGATGACCAAACATGAAAAAAAAAAATCTAAATGTAAACAATTGTTGAGTGCAGGACCATCTAGAAAAAGCCTAGTCACGCTACTCAAGGGAGAATAGTCTACTGGTTTTGAGGAATGAGTACATATCACTGCTTTTCTCTCATAATCATAAACAACTACAACAACAAAAGAAGTTGACAGATATAGTTTTACACCTACGTTGATCTTAAAATGTTGAGAAGGAATATTACTGCATGACATGATTTTACATAGCTGTTATTCGCCAAGCAAACATAATTTGTAACAATTTCAGTGATCGTGTCTATAACACGTGGTCCACACAGCAAGTACAGTAAAGATAAAGTCTTCAAAGCAATGGATGGGTTTTGGTGATCTGATCTTCTAAAATTCTTAAGTAATTGCATAATGCATAATTTATTTACATATTCATACAATGGTATTGTTAATAAGCCATTCTTGCATGATTCATTTTCCTATGGATTTCAATGGAAGATTTCAGGTTGCATGTTACTATTTTCCAAAATAAGATTCTTTTTTATAATGCTCATCATACTTTCTCAAAGTACTTAAGCTTGCTCTACAATTTTTCCCTTTTCCTACAGAATCTAAAGTTTCATTGAAAAATATTTTTTTCAGTGTAGATACTGTGGCAAAAATAATGGTATAGTATGCCTGCTGCTATATCATTCTCTGTACCAATTTCAAAGCACTTCAAAACAGGATTAAGATGTGTTCTCCTCTTTAAGTACGTTGGGGTCTCCAGACTCTGAGTGAAAAATATCAATGGATTCTGAGAGGACTGTCTTTGAACTTTTTTTTAAGATAGCAAATAAATTGTAAAATAGTGGTGGAAAGAAATAGCCTATGTGACATTTCCCAGCTATACAGAAATTACTGAAGATTAGTAGAATATCAGTTTTGTTCTTTATGTATGAAACGTTCTCCAATCCCAATCTAAACAAAAAGAATTTGTTTCACAACGAGTTAAAATGAATCAAAACTTATGCATAGGCTGGTATATGTTTAAAAATATTAGATGCAGTAATAAGGGCGCGAAAGTAGTAATGCCACATATTTAAAAGCTCGCTTAGGCAATGCAGAACACCAGCAGTATTTTAAACATAATGTATGTCAACTGTGAGTGAACTGCAGTTGTGCAAAGAGAACACAGCTGTATTTTTGTTTGTTTGCATGGCAAGGTTTTGGTAGCGAGGGGGGGGGCGGGGGCTGCAGGAGTGGCTTCTGTGAGAAGATGACAGAAGTGTCCCCGATGTCTGGTAGAGCCCGTGCCAGCTGGCTCCGAGACAGACAGGCTGCAGGCCAAAGCTGAGCCAACAACAGTGGGGGCACCTTTGTGGCAACATATTCAAGAAGGTAAAAAAACCTGCAGCAGGATAGAGAGAGGAGTGAGAATATGTGAGAGAAACAAGTCTGCAGACACCAAGGTGAGTGAAGAAGGAGGGGGAGGAGGTGCTCCAGGTGTGGGAGCACAGATTCCCCTGCAGCCCATGGAGAAGACCATGGTAAGGCAGGCTGTCTCCCTGCAGCCCATGGAGGTCCACAGTGGAGCAGATATCCACCTGTAGCCCGTGGAAGGGACCCCACGCCGGAGCAGGTGGATGCGCCTGAAGAAGGCTGTGACCCTGTGGGAAGCCCCTACTGGAGGAGGCTCCTGACAGGACCTATGACCCCATGGAGAGAGGAGCCCACACTGGAAGATGTTCTGGCAGGACTTGTGACCCCACAGGGGACCCACGATTGAGCAGTCTTCCTGAAGGACTGCATCCTGTGGTAGGGACCCATGCTGGAGCAGTTCATGAAGAACTGCAGTCCATGGGAAGGACGCACACTGGAGAAGTTCGTGGAGGAGTCTCCCATGGGAGGGACCTCACACTAAAGCAGGGGAAGAGTGTGAAGAGTACGCAGCGGCAGAAACAACATGTGATGAACTGACTGCAAATCCCATTCCCCGTCCCCCTGTGTCACTCAAGGGGGAGGAGCTAGAGAATTTGGGAGTGTAGTTAGCTCGGGAAGAAGGGAGGGGTGGTGGTGGGAAGGTATTTTAAAATTTCTTTTTTATTTCTCATTATCCTACTCTGATTTGATTAGTAATAAATTAAAGTCATTTCCCCAAGTTGCATCTGGTTTGCCCATGATGGTAATTGGTGAGTGATCTCTCCCTGTCCTTATCTCGACCCACGAGCCCTTCATCATATTTTTTCTCCTCCTGTCCACTTGAGGAGGTGGAGCGATAGACTGGCTTGGTGAACACCTGGCATGCAGCCAGGGTCATTCCACCACAACAGTATGAGTTCACTATCTGCTATCTGTAGATTTTCCACTATGAAAAACCTCTTTCATCTCAACAATAACTTGTGTAAGTGGCAAGTAGAAAATAATTATTGATCACTTTGAATGAGATAAATCTGTCTGCTGTTTTACAGACTGCATTGAAGAAAACATCACAGCATGCAAAGAAGAAAAAAGGTTACTATGTAATACTGTTTATATTTCCACAAAATTATGTTTACTTACAACTGGGCCTGGTGGGCCTTGTGGGCCTTCCCCTCCTTTCAGACCAGCTGGACCCTAAAAAATGGGAAAACAAAACAAAACAAAAGCTATCTCTTACACTGGAAAATCCAAGAGTTATTTATGCAACACTTATAATAGGAAGAATGTGAAAATCCAAAGACAAAAAACTGAACAAATTCCTTTTTCGCTTATATAGCCAATGATATTTAACAATGTTGGATGCTTGATGTTTGTTCTCCTATTGCATTCATTTTGAAGCACAATAGAAGGTTCCATGAAATAAAAGATTTAATCCATTCTTTCTTATATTTAGAAACATCATGTCAATTGTTCTTGTGCTTGTATCATACCTGAGCACCTGGAAGGCCTCTCTCTCCAGGGAAACCACGAAGACCTGCTGGTCCATCTTTTCCAGG